CAAAACGTTGCGCACCGTTGTGATCTTGAACATGCCCCTGTATACAATACTTGTATTTATCTCTATAACATTATTATTTGTTAGAAAGAAATTCTAAGTCAAGTTAAATGAAATGGTACACTTATGTTTACGATGTGATTTTTATTTTAAAAAAATTATTAAATTTTTGTTCAGGAAAATTCTGTGAAATTTGTATAAAATTTAGTTTCATTTTTTTTTTTATAAAATGTATCGTTCATTGATCTCTTTAAATAGATGTTTAATATAAGGTCTTCGTTGTCATTTGGAGCGACCACTCATCATGTGGTGTGCGACCAATAAAAGCAATCACTGTATTAAATTTAAAATAAAATATCTTGAGCTGAAATATGAATCACTAATAAAATATGCTTAAGTGAATGGTATTTTAAAAAATTGTTATCAGTTTTATGTGTTTTACAGGAAAAATAAGTCTGTTAACTAGATTTAAGGCGGCAACTATAAAATTATAGAACAAAAAATGAGATTCATCTAGATGAAGAAACACTAAAATCACTTAAATTAAAATGTCTATATGAATTTATGTGTACACAACATCCTTAATGTTTGAACAATTGCAACAGGTATTATTATTTTTTGTATTTTAAAATTGGCCTGTTGAAAATCCTTATACGTCATTGACCAAATATAATTAAAATATTTCATATGTTTACCATTTTGTGTTTAGGGGTAAATTGAAGATTTCTAATTCTAAATTATGTAATTTGTTGCTCTCAAACATGGGGACATTGGGCTATATAGTTTTGGACGCATAGATAAAAAAAAACTGTTACAGACTTTGAAACAAAATATATTTTCGTTCACTCCCCGGTCTCATTTATACTGTCGTTCAGGTTTTCAGGGAAATATAGCACAACCTTTAAAAAAAAAACATTTAAACAGATTATTATGCACATTATTTCATTGGGAGGGTCGTGCACAAGGGCGCAAAGGCAGGTCTTTCCATCATAAACAGATCGAAGCATAACAAATCCAGTAATCACCATGGCAACTGCTGATGAAACGTGTCGACTTCACTGGTTTTGTAAAAACCGAAACGTGCAAACAATCAACAGCTGTTTTTTTTTGTCAATGTCGCGATTATTAATACATAGATTCATGTTGCATATTTACCAAGTATGTTATCCAAAAACCGTTTATTTCCAACACTCGCCACGTCAAATTAACCCATTTCAAACACGCTGTTCAATGTAGGTATAACTTACGTTACAAACAAACGAATGCTAACGTGTGAAATGAATAAGTGGTTGCAACTAAGATGCATCGCTCACTTTACAAAAATATAATAAAACATACTGATAAACCACTGGATTTATGTTGTTAATAGAGATACAGCCAGCCTATATCATCATTCAAATAAAAATAATAGTCTAACGTTCCTACTGTCTGTATCACTCATGCACTCTTACCTGGAGACCACGCCGCCTCAGTATATTTGGCTCATCCATTATGAATATAATGTTTTGTAGGTTTCCTATGGTTAATTTAACCCATCCCGCAGGGATAAATGTATTTTACTCATGATATCTCTAGTCACCCAGTCCATCCCTGAAACAGCGAGCACACTGTCACCTGACTAGAGGATGAGAGAGTCTGCGAGGAACCAATCAAAACACGAATCTGTACAATTAAGGCGGTAGCGACATGAATCAGGTTGTTGTTGTGCTGAGTAGCTTCTCGAAGCGCTGTCTTTCATATTAATTTAGGCTGCTATGTTGACGGTGTTGTTCATTTAAAAAAAATCTGAACTTAAATGTAGCTATATGAAGCTATTTGACTGAGTAGGCCTACTGTTGCGTCAAATGAATCATATCGGAATAATTAGCATGGCTGTTAATTGATTGATTTTTTTAGGATAAATTTAGCTTAGAAGTTCTGAAGATCCATAAAGGTCATTTACAGAAATGTTTATATCTGGTACCCTTAAGGTTCACAGTTGATATGCTGGACTAAAACATTAAGGCTACATGGTTTTAAAATGCAGTTTCTGGTGTAAATGTTTAGCTTTGAGTGAAAGCTGTCAAATAAAATCATATTTTACACCAAGGATGTAATTATATTGAGTATTGGGGGCACCCAAGATACTGATGCATGACCCCCTCTGTCATGTAAGTATTTGTTGTATTTGATTCTTTGTCTTTCGCTAAATGTAAAATACTTTTTATTTATGAAAAATTCAGCTCTGTTTGCCGATGAAACATTCCGGTATTGAAATTTTCAGAAGCATACTGGAATAATTTGGGCAGGTAGCCTGGCACTGTCAGTCATGTGGGATATTGTCTCTTGACTGATTATTGTCTTTCTCCAAGTGGCACCACGATGCTTTGATGTAACAATGGAACATTGATTGAAAAACATCACAACACTGCATGAGTCACTCTTTGTCGCTGTCTGCTCTCCTTTTATGCATAGAACACAATCTTTAAATGATCTTACAATGTGAATTATTGGTTGTTTTAATATTCAAATGCTTGAGTGCACATTTTGTGTGCTTTTTTTTAATTAACCATGTTAGTTTCCTGTAGTCATTTTTTGTGCACATTTATTTATATATTTATTTTCTGTGCAGTTACTTGCTGTGGTAAATGAAAGGGAGTGTGGCCTTTACAGTCCACTGCTTTTTGTCCTTTCCTATTACTGTGTGCGCCTAATGCACTGTGTTCCTGGAACAAGGGCAGGATCGTTTGTGCTTGTTAGAGTTGTTAGAGCACGACAATGATTATATTATATCCAGCTTTTGAGGCTGAACTTTTCCCTGCTTCCTTTCCAATTCATGAAATTGTTTATGACAAATTTATGTCAGTTTTAGTTTTCAGTAGATTCTAGTTGATAATAGGTATTTGTTGTTACAGAATTTAGAGAGGAGCTCTGACTTTGTGCTGTGGTTCAGTTGTTGTATATTTTGTATATATATATGTAAAATATGTAACAATCAATTAATTGTTAATTGTTAATGATTAAAAATCAATGCCACTAGCTTAATCCACCCCATTTTCCATAGTAACCACTAGAGGGAGTCATTTATCTATATTCATCTTCAGGAAGCTAATGTACGACACCAAAAATTGGGTGATGCTCTTTTTTTATCATCCTGGAGATATGTGACACTCTTGCTTTTAAACTTGTCAAGCGTAATGTTAGTTCTGGCAGGTCACATCAGTCAAGCTTGCATCAGCTGACTCTCACCTGATCCAAGTCTACCTATAGGAATACAATGCTTATCACAGCATATACATAAAATCCATTCAGTATTATCATCAGCTTTATCTCGTTGATCAGGAGCTAATTACCCTCCTCCATCCCCAGCCCCTCCTCTCGTCCAGTCAGGACTTGGCCTTCTGATATTCCCCTTTGAATCAGACTAATTTTCTTGAATCATTTTATACATAAATCATTGAACATTAATAATATCCGCAATACATTTATGTTGGTTTGGTTCTTTTTACCCCTGTTCTGCTGCTCTTATCCATGCTAGGCTGCATGGATGGGCAGGGAGTTCTTGTCCATGAACAAAACCATACCGCCAATCCTAACTGTATGTGAATTGTCAATCATCTTCGACTATAGAAACACTTTTATCTCCTCATATCTCATATAATGTATGGACCACAGACAATTTTTTTTACTACTTTTTAAATAGCTGCGCACCATATAGAATGACCCATTAACCCTTACTATTGTGAACACACAACTGCCCTATATGTGTGGGTGTCTTATGATGCAATTCTGCTGTAAAATGTCATCACAGTAGCCTCACTGACATGTATTATCACAGATTACAGAAAGGCTTGTTTATCTGTGATCTTAATGTCGAGAGATCTCTTATGTAGTTTATGGAATTATGGAATTCATTGTTAGTGTGTATTTTTGTTGTTTAGTTGTAAATTAACTGGAGGAACTTGACAAAGAGGCACGTCCGGAACACTCAAAGGTGCCCTTTAACCTGTTGCAGTGGCAACAGATTTAACATCAACAGTGGTGTGTAAAATATATATACAGTATATATATATATATATATATATATATATATATAGGTAGGTCAATAAATGCAATTTTATGGTGTAACATACTGTGTTCTTAAGAGTTCATTGTGGGTGTGTATTGAATGCGTATGACAACCTTCCTTCGTGTTTTAAATACAGTTGTCGTTTTTTTGGCTTCAAATGCTCCATTACTCAATGTGGTGCTCTTGGCATTCTGACACCTAAGAACCTTTCACACACTTTTACCTTAGGAGAGTCATCTGAGCATGTGACACACAACACGTGACGAGTTGAGCTTAGCCATTTATCCAAATTATTCAACTCTTTTTTGTTTGTTTAGATCTGTCTTGCTTTATTTCACTACCATATGTGAGTTTTGTTGTACTGCCATCTATCGTTCCACATGTAAATAGAAATGTGTCCTATCTGAAAACAGAGGATTTTTTTTCTTTAAATGATCATATGAAAGTCGTTTATTTATAGACAAAAGCAAGTTTAGGCAAGACCACACATATCGTGGTGGTCCCATAATTATAGATTGTCCTTTGTTATTATGAATTCGATGCAGACTGTGTGTGGACTTAAGATCATTTTTTATATACTACACATAATTCACATCTGTTCAAATGTAGAATTACATAATGGAGAAGCATAGCACAGAAATTAATTTTATCAAAAAATACTCTCCAACTATTCTTGTCTTATTTTGGCTCATTATAGATTTTTATATTTGTATACATATTATCCAGTATTGTTTGCAGCAAGTCCCAAGTCCAAGATGAATTTCACTTTGGGGTGACAGTATTATTGTAAAATCCTACTGACATGATGTCATTGTCAAGGGAATGACTACTTTGCATATAGTTTCATTGTGGGTGTAGATGAGCAATCCTCTCTGGCGAGGCGTGGCTTGTACCTGTATAAATGAAAACATGCCTGGAATGTCATTCATTCCACTGACCAACACAAAGACAACTTGCCATCAGAACTTGCGATGCAGAACTCGGTAGCACAGTGCTTTCTCCTTTCTGTTGGGGCTGTTATTTTTAGCTCTTGCCTGAGAGAGTCTACAGCTCAACTGGAGCATGGGGAAATGTTCATGGGCCTGCAGCTTGAGGCTCTGAAAACCATTATTCTGGAGTACCTGGGGATGGACGGACCACCCAGGCCTGGTGGAAGAGCGTCTCACCAGGACTTGGTCAGGATGTACCGTCAGTATAGGAGAATTGGACAGCTGCTTAAAGGGAATTCCAGTGAAGGGCAGGAGCTTCAGCCCGCAAGAAGAGCCTCTACGGTGCTCTTTCCCACGACAGGTATATGTTTTTATTATAATTATGTCAAATAAAAACGTTTAATTGTGTAATTTGAAAGCATGAGTAAATTTGTTTAAAAAATACACACACACACACACACACACACACACACATATGTATATATTTATTGGACTCAAATGGATAAAAAAAAGTGTATGTAGTTTGCATTGTCTAATTTCTACTCACTAACTCACTTTTTAAACTGTATTTTAATTGAATACAGTACATTCAATTTTAAACAAATGTACATGTGTAAATGTTTTGTGTGTGTATGTATATATTGATAGACACCACACACACACACACACACACAACAAATATTGAGTGTGTGTGTGTGTGTGGTGTCTATCAATATATACATACACACACAAAACATATTTACACATGTACATTTGTTTAAAATTGAATGTACTGTATGTATCCACTGTAGTGGATTAAAGATTAAAATATATAATTTATTTATTTGGTATATGTTTGCATATACACATTTATTTTGCATTGTCTAATTTCAGTTTTTCTTTATTATTTTCCTAACAGTACAGCCTCTGAATTCAAGCATGGATTCAAGGCAGCAGTGCTTCAGAGCTGCTTTCCACAAGAACTCGCGCATCAAAACTGGAGTCAACATTAAACATGCAAAGCTGCAAATTAAGAGACCGCACATGTACAAAATTTCACCTGGCCAGCCATGGCTATCAAAAGACATTGTGGTTAGAATGCATAAACCTCCTGGTTTTCATAAAGAGACTGTATTTCACACGAGGGACTTGAGCTCTCGGGATGTCACGTTGGATTTAACAGTCACAGTTGAGAAGTGGCTTAAGGACACAAGTGCTGAGCTTTTAGTTGTTGAAATTTGCCTTCTCAAAAAACAAGAAGTGAGTACACAATCCACGCCTCGGCTTATTTTACAACTTGACCAAGCAGTGAGGAGAAGCAGGAGAGCTGTCTCTACTAAGGAGGAAAGTGTTGAGGATGAAGGTCACTGCAGGCGAAAGTCATTAAATGTTTCCTTCAAAGAGATCGGCTGGTCAGACTGGGTTATCGCTCCTTCGGGCTATACCATGCACTACTGTGATGGTTCTTGTCCGCATAATTATAAACCTGCCAGTATGCATACTCAGGTTAAGTCTCGTCTGCATCTTATGTCCAAAGGAACAACACCCGGGCCTTGCTGCGTACCAGCTGCCTATGAGCCAATGGTTCTCATGCACTATGACAGTCGCGGAAAGCTGAAACTCACGCCTTTCAACGATTTGATAGTTAGTAAATGCCACTGTGCATAAGCAACATTGGCATGTTTTTAAAGGAGACTGATTAACAACTGAACATTATAGTCTCAAGATGAAAAGGAGGCAAAATATCTAGCCGATGAAATACAAATAAATGTTCTCACACACCTTTGGTTACATTCCTCTGGTTTATGTGGCTTCTTCTGAAACCAGATGCCTGCTTTCCTACACTGACATGTTAAATGGGTACTGTATTTTCACATGATTGACATACTGGAATATCAAGTTATTTATTGTAATTTATTTGAAAAGTTTTGTACCTTCATTTTTAGTTTGTGTTGCGAATGAATCAAGAAACCTTTTGTATTTTTGAAAGAAAGTAGTTGTATTCCTTTAAGGAAATTATCTATTTTCTGTATGAATGTTCACTAAATTTCAATAAAGACGATTCAATATCCTCTCTGAATATAAGATAAACATCCTCAAATATATTTTGTGAAACCAAGTCAAGTTTGAACTGCTATGAAGACTCTGGATGTTGTTAAAAACCTTTGAATCCACATTGAAATGACCTCTTCATGCTAAAAATTAAACTGGATTAAATTGCGGAAAATATATAATCCGAATTACTCATTTGTGTATGACTCACTCAGATCACATAACAATGAACTGTAAAATGAATTTACAAAACGTTTTACTTAAAGTGTAAACTTTTAAATTACACTCAACATTGTACAATATCCTCTCAGTTATAATTTCCAAGGTGAGGTCATGCCATAAATATGCATAAGAGATATTTATCCATTTCATCCAATCCATATTTATCACATCTATAAAGATATCCCAGTTCTTACATCTGTAGCCTTGAAAGCACACATAAGTTTCATTGGCCTTGACCAGAGAGTGAATGCTCTCTAAAGCAAGCACAGTGGAGGCATGAGTTCATTTGTGACTTAATATTTACATAATACTGTCACGATAGTCCATAAAAAATTAGTTGCCTATATTTACTCTGCAGGATTTTGCTGACTGTAAATATTTTTGAGATACATTAATTGTTTTGACACAATGTAATCATTTCTTTGATAATGATAATAATAATAATTTGTAATCATCACACAATCAAGCATAAAGCAATAAACAAACTGACTTCCTTGTACTTATTACTATCACTTTATTCGCTTAAAAAAGATAAAGTACCAGCTCATACATCAATAAAACTGTTTTAGTAGGTTTGGATAAAACAATGGGGCGAAATAAACCATAAATTGCTCTCTACTTATTAAGTATGTGGGTACAGTAGAACTATAGTAAGGAAATTCACCTTAGCATATCTGGCTGTGCCAATAACATGGAAACATAGTTTGGATAAGATGTGTGTCAGTACTCTGCGACTATACTGAAAGCCCCTAGAAAGTCACTAAACAAAGCTTTTGCTGCCAGGATTGTAGTAGGCTATTTGCATATATCCAGGATTTTATCTATTTGAAATTTTGTATTGAATATGCAGCTATACATTATAAGCATACTTTTCTTTTCTTTTTTTTCTTATTTAAAAAAAAGAAATATAATTTATTATAATTTGTAACATTTTACATTTAAATGAATATATATATATATATATATATATATATATATATATAAAGTATACTTTATTAGGTACACCTGTTAAACTACCCGTTAACGCAAATATCTAATCAGCCAATTACATGGCAGCAACTCAATGCATTTAGGCATAGACACGATCAAGACAATCTGCTGAAGTTCAAACTGACCATTAGAATGGGGAAGAAAGGTGATTTAAGTGATTTTGAACAAGGCATGGTTGTTGGTGCCAGACGGCTGGTCTGAGTATTTCAAAAACTGGGATTTTCCTGCACAACCATCTCAGGGTTTACAGACAATGGTCCGAAAAAGAGAAGATATACAGTAGGCAGGTCTGTGGTTGTTGATGCCAGAGTGGATGCGATGCCCTGGTGGCCTGTATACAATAGCAAAAAAAAAAAAAAAAAGTCAAACGGATTTATCACATATCACACTAAATAACATTACATAAAGCACCATCACTTTGAAAGAATTATACCTGAAACCAGACCTCTGATGAGTCTCAGAGGAGAATGACCAGACTGTTTCGAGCTGATAGAAAGGCAACAGTAACTCAAATACGGTAAACACTTTTTACGGACAACACGTCGAACCTTGAAGCAGATGGGCTACATCAGCAGAAGACCACCGGTCCCACTCCTGTCAGCTACTGTAAGAACTGAGGACAAAATTGGACAAAACTGTTGCCTGGTCTGATGCGTTTCGATTTCTGCTGCGACATTTAGGGTCAGAATTTGATGTAAACAACATGAAAGCATGGATCCACTGCTGCTGGTGGTGTAATGGTGTGGGGGAGATTTTCTTGGCACACTTTGGGCCCTTTTGTACCAATTGAGCATTGTTTAAACGCCGCAACCTACCTGATTATTGCAGAACATGTCCATCTCTTTATTACCACAGTATACCCTTCTGATGGCTACTTCTAGCAGGATAACGCGCCGTGTCACAAAGCTCAAATGATCTCAAACTGGTTTCTTGAACATGACAGTGAGTTCACTATACTCAAATGGTCTCCACAGTCATCAGATTTCAATCCAATAGAGCACCTTTGCCAAAGGTGATGCGAATCTCCTGGTCCTTTGGGATGTGGTGGAACAGGAGATTGGCATCATGGATGAGCAGCCGGGAAATCTGCAGCAATCATGTGATCCTATCATGTCAATATGGACAAAAATCTCTGAGAAATGTTTCAAGCACCTTGTTGAATCTATGAATTAAGGCAGTTCTGAAAGCAAAAGAGTACTAGCAATGTGTACCTAATAAAGTGGCCAGTGAGATATACTGTATATGGTGCGTTTTTCAATAATAGCTGGAAATTACAGAAAGCTCAAACACTTTTATTGGAAAATTATAGCATACTGTACATGACATTGATGATTAGTTTTTACTTTCCAACCCATTCTTACTAAAGCTACCAAGACCATTCACCAATGACCAAGTCATTCATGCAATTTCCTCAAAACCTTTTCTGTCAACAGGTTAGATAATGTTACCTCACTGAAAAGTTTAAAAAGTTGACAAGTGCACTTCACAAACCAAATATTTAGGCATGTTCATGATCTAAAAAATATATAAGATATAGTGCAAATGAATCTCTCACATACTTGTGCCCTGTTTTGAGCCCTGAAGCTATACTATAAAGAATGCAGTTTAGTGGGACTGCTCCAATGTAATGTTCAAACTCCGATCAATGGCCATTAACTGACTGTTAATTAAAAGGTATGTAAAGTCAACATTAATCTCATCTGAGATCTGAGTCTCAGAAATATATCCGGAAACAGTGACTTGCCAACAGGATATGCAGCAACCTTATACTTTTTCAGAGAGATGTGTATGAACAACACCAAGACTAGGGCAAGCAAAAACTGAACTGTTTGTCTCTGATTGTGACATTCTGACGGCTTCTTAGTGCCATAAACCCGCCCACTTGTCTAATGTTCCACTCGTTTCATTTAGTTGTGGAAGTGGAAAAGACACTCAGCTAATTCCTAGCTTATCGCTGAGAGAGAAGATTTCAGTGAGTCACAGTGACATCAAAAAAATCATAAGGCACAGTCAAGATGAATAGTTATTACTATACAAGTTTTGTATCGTAGAAATAAATCTTATGAAATATGAGGCATGTGAAATGCACGGCACATACACTAGCCATTCAAAAGATTAGGTTCTGTAAGATTTTCTACTGTTTTAAAGTCTCTTAAAATATATTGTAAAATAAAATGTATTCTAAAATATAATTTATTCATGTGAAAACATATAATTTATTCACAAAATTTTCATCAGTCATTGCTCCATGCCACACGATCCTTTAGAAATCAAACATGCTGCTTAAAATTTTTGTGGAAACCGTGATACATTTTTATCAGGATTCTTTGGTGAATTGAAAGTTTAAAAAAACAAAAAACAACAGTATTTATTTGAAATAGAAATATTTTGTACAATTATAAATGTCTTTACTGTCACTTTTGACCAATTTAATGGATCCTTGCTAAATAAAAGTAATACATTCTTAATGACCCCAAACTTTTTAACAATAGTAGTAAAAAATTCGGGAAGCAAACATTTTTAAACATTAAAAACATGACAGAGGCACATGTGAAAAGGCCCTTGCTGAAAAGTCCAGCATATGGACCAGCATCTCAACTAGAACAACTCAGCTATGTTGGTCCACCAAACCAGAAAAAACCAGTCTGTACCAGCATGGAACATTTACTCTGGTCAGAGCTGGTCTTTTCAGCAGGGGTTGTTTGCAATCGGCAGAGACACCTGTTAAAGTGTGATCAATGAGGTCATGATTATGTTTTGCTGTCTCACTGGGTTCAGTCACTGGCTGGCTCATGTAATGTTTGTGAAGGCATTTGCATTGCTCAGGTCAAGTCTATTTCTTGGGCAGAATGTTTAGCCCTTAATTTTACCATCTGAAAATTAGGATGTTATTGTTTCACATCATGCCAGCACAAATTATTTTACTTAAGGATTAATATTGGACAGCAAAACACTTCAGACTTTCAAGCATCTGGCATGATATAAACATCCTCTAAGATTTCTGCCTGATCTGGATGGAAGAGGGCAGGATCATTGCTGTAGATTGCATCATCATGTGGATCACACTGCAGGTATGCTTGATGGGCTCTAAATGGGGGCAAAAGTGAAATTCAGTTCTTGAAAACTCAATTAAATCCTCAAATAAAGCATTAAAATACATTATAACAAGGTGAATTGCAAAATTTGCACCAACATATAGTCCAATAAATATTGCGGCAAAATAAAAACTCCTTTAATGTAAGTTAACTCTCGATGACTGTTATACCACTATTGCCACACATTCATGATGTCACTGTGATCTTGCAAAACAGACAAATAGAACTTAGCAGGAAATTCCATTACTACTTCAAAGACTTATCGCAGCCTTCTCATCACCCAATTTCTGATGATCTACATTACAACAGTGTCTTCCACGCCCATACAAATTTGACTTTTGTACTTTACCTGTGTGTGTCCTCGCTTTGAACAGCACTCCTCTGAAATTCGTGCAGATTGGACTGTCCACTCTGAAAGTTCTCATAGATTGGGCTCTGCGGTGCAGGATGAAGTCCTCCGGCATATCCACTGCTGTACGGAGACTCTCTGGAATGACTATCGTGGCTTTTATCTTGGCTCTTAAGTTTATTAGATAACTCAATATCAACTGATTTTCTGTGTCGAAACCAGAGAAGCACTGCTATCCCCGCCAGAAGCAGAGCCACAAAGAATATAGGCAAACCAACAGCAAGTCCAAGTGACTGGCTGTTGTCAAGCCCGCAGTCATCTGTAGAATTGCTTCCAGGGCAACTGCTATTTACATTCATGGTCTAAAAAAACGATCGAAAAAATTATGTTATTATAGGCCCTATCTAAAATGACAGCAAAACACTCAAGCATTTAAAGCAGAAAACATCCACATCAATGTCTTTCACAGCAAGAGAAAATGTTTTAAGTAGTTATGTACACTGAAATTAATCAAATGAACCTTGTACTAATGTAACCCAAATGTAACATTCATCATAGAAATAACCTTACCATATTGTGTAGGTGAAACTTTATATCCTATGTCTGTATCGCAGCAGCTGGCAGAAATGGTCAAGCTGCCGTTTGGGGTTTCTTTTTGCAAAAAGCCTTAAAGTTCCTCTTTCGGTGCAGTTGTCATGCAACCTGGAAATTCACACCCCCACATAATCATTCTTCCTGTTGTCTTCCTATAAACAGTTATTTGCTCTGAAAATGAGATTTGTGGGTTCATGCTAATAGGAGCTATAAATGATATGCAAATAATAATAGCTGAGCATGTCCTCTCAAAATTTACCAGTGTCCAGACTGTTCATAAAATCTGTAGCCTATTTTCATCCAATGTTGATCACACAGCCTTCAGAAATAATAGAGTTTAAATCATGCAATAAAAGCAAATGTATATAACAATCTGGTATAGACTGGCCAATAAATGTAGGCTAGCCTGAATCATTGAATGTGACTAGTTTGAATATACAGAAATGAAAGTTGGTTAACAAGATCAAGACTTCAAACTGAAGCTCAACGTTATAAAAAAAATGGAAAATGTGAAAATAGCTCCTTCAATGCTTTAGACCTCCTCTAGAAAAAGAGGAACTTAGTTATGCTAACATTGCATGACCAGTTAGTATAATAAAACTAGTTTTGCTAACAGTTTTTACTGGGACTTCAAACTGAAGCTCAACATTAGAAAAAAAATGGAAAATGGAAAATGTGAAAGTAGCTCAGATGTTGTGGACAACGCTGATACATCCTCTAGAAAAAGAGGAACTTGGTTATGCTAACATTGCATGACCAGTTAGAACAGTTTTTTTGCTTTTACTGAGACTAATGTACATGTACACTGTGTGGTTTCAAAACCAATGCCATCTTAATGTAAAAAAGAAACAAGCAAGTTGGGGTCACTGTCCTGGTCGCTTGTGCTTATATCACCCCCTGGTGTTAAAAGTAATGCATTTGCCTTCAAACTAACATGTTTGCATGATTGTTTATTTTTTTTAGTGGGCAAACTGTGAGGATGAAATAGTGTAATTATTATTATTATTATTTTGGAAAGAACTACATAATTACTGATTAAAAAAAGCCACTTATTGTGTCACTTTGCTTACTTTGAGACCCATTCTCAGTAATGTTGACTATCAAGCTGGAAAACCCCTAATTCAAATCCACAAAATTTATGGAAAATGATTCCGGGTTCAATGGAAATTGCTTTTTAAGTAGGCTACAGTATATGTTGTGTTAGTATGTCAAACAGTCAGCTCTGTTTAACTACTTGTCCTAAACTAGATATAAAATAAACTAAGAAACTCGATTTTCCAGTGCTAGGTTTGCTCTAGACAGATAAACAGAAGCTAAATGGTGTTTTCACTGTTTTAGAAAACAAAAAACTCCACCTTCAGATTGCAAGAATTAGACCTCTTCTTTGCCTCTATTTTTATTTAAATATCACTTAAAAATAAAAAATATCTGTCTGATGTGAAACATGGAGTAAATCGTTGTTGGTTGGCTACTGCATAACCGAAACTGACATGTAACTGCATTATGCAACATCTGATATCTCAGCTATACTTCTGTTTCTCTATTAAAAATCCCCCAGCTGCTGTAAAACACTTCCTTCCACATGCTTGCATTGGTCTGTTTAATTGAAGCCTACTTTACAAAATAGTTCAAATGAGTTTCATTTCACATTGATCAAATTGACTGTGACGGCTGCATAATAATATGCATAATGACACGTCTGGGTGGACCTGGCATAACAACACCTGTTTTTTTTTCCTTCATTAGAGTTGGGAACCGAGAATTGTTCTTATTCAGAAACATTTAAATTAAAAATAAATATGGGAACAGAAGGATCTCATGACATTTGATTTCATTCTCAACAACACTGATGAATCTACAGTTCGTACGAATTTAACACACGCCACCATGCGCCGTCTGATTGTCAAACGAATGGCTCTTAAGAGTCGGTTCTTTGAAGTGAATCAGCAACAGAGTCTAATTTATACTGAGTAAATACAGATCAGAATATGTAGTCCGATTCCCGAACGTACGACTCCCATGGGCCAGTTCTTTTTACAGAATAATAAGTTTCAGTTGCTACATCAAAACATACGACCAGCGTGATTCCCGAACGAACAGACCATAGGCTATAAAACTGTTATTTTAGCTAATCAAAACAGTTAGGAATGAATCCATCAATGAACAAAAGTTGTTTGAGGTAATGTTTATATGTGTGGGTGTCTGTGTTATTAAAGACTCGAATTTTCGGTGGCTATATTTTTACGAAAATAATTGAGTGAAATATGATAGGGTAGCCTATACTACATTTTTGTTTGTTTTATTTTATAGTTTGGGGCAGGTTCAATAATTGTATTGCATAAACGTCTAAAACGCATTTGCAATATTTTGATTTGTTATAGCCTATCTGTTTAAATCGGAAATAATGTCATAATTTCAGACTGTCAGACTGTCAGACTGCTGAGTGCATAGGGGCATAGCCTAACTGGATTTTTTCCCTAATATTTCTTCCTAAAAGGTATTAAAGAATCGTTTATGGAACCGAATGAGTCAGAATCAGCATCACGTTGTTATTCCCATTCCTAATCTTCATTCATTCACAGCACACATAATAATAATCCTCGAATATTGGCTGTAGAACAGACGAGGAGAACCCGCGCGCTCCAGATGTGCGTGTTCATACGCCCACGCGCACGGACGCGCGCACGCAGCAGCGTCTCATTGAACCAGAGCGGAGCTCAGGAGGAGAGAAACATGGCGACCTCGAATAATCCGCGAAAATTCAGCGAGAAGATCGCGTTACACAACCAGAAGCAAGCGGAAGAGACAGCTGCGTTCGAGGAGGTGATGAAAGACCTGAGTATTACTCGGGCGGCCCGTGTAAGTGTGTCTGTTTTTTTCTCTTATGGCAGCATTCGTTTGCAGCCCGAGGTGCGGGGCAGAATTTATGTTGATACGACACGCACGGAACCCGCCTGTCTGGACGTAAACAATAACAAACGCCCCTCTCTAGTGCGCGTTTGTCTCTAGCGTTGATTAATGGATTGCCTTCCAATGGTCGCTTTTGAGATGTTTGATAATAACAGACGGTCACGACGAGGCCTTATAAAAGTTGTCATGCTCACATCTGCAGTGGATGAGTGTGAATGGATTGAGCATGTGTTTTGACAGCCACATTATAGTCTCTCGCCATTATAGCTGGACTGTAACTTAATCAAGGCCATATCCAGAGTTCTAAATCTAAATTTTAATTTCAAATCTCAATGTTTGTATTTATGTTTACATGCTCTCAATGAATAATTTAGCAATAAACAACAATGTAGGCTATTAGCTCAGTTCGGCATTATTGGCCAGTGCACTTATGCTAAAATAAGGACTCCAGCAAACTGATGACAGGGTTGTGATCACACAGACATAGCCTGCACTGCTTTACTAACATCCCACCCAAGATTAAGACTAAATACTACTCATTTCAAAGTTATGCTCACAGTTTTTCTGTTTTGTTTTTGTTGTTTGTTTCTCTTGTTACTGTTTAAATTCAAGTGCTTCTAACATTATATAAAATCTGCAGCATACGCATGGTAACATATGTATGCATGCCACAGTATTAATGCAGCTCTTTTTCCATCCGATGAACGATACAAATATTGACGGCTAATCAGAATCCATTCGGCTTGAGCATTTAAAGTAGGGATGCACCGATATGAACATTTTGGCCGATAAACGGTAATTCTTTATATTTGAAAGCCAATAAATCTAAATAAAATCTTATACAATTTTTGAGAGTCTGATTACAAAAACAAAAGTCTCACCATTAAAAGCCATGTCCCAAGCACACAAGTTCTAATTTTATGTAGCCTATTTGACAGACTTGCACTGCACATGTTGCTCTTAACTGTATTTTCCTCTTTAAAAAAAAAAAAAAAGTGATTCCACTCATATTTCAAGCAATTCAAAACCGTCATCTGAAGTGTCTCAGCTGAAGGAAATAATCCATTATTTATCGGCTTTAATATATTGGCCAAATTTTCTTATCAGGCCCAGGGTTCTACGCTGACCTTTTTTTTAGGAGCATGCCATGGTCAAATATTTAGGAGCACCTCCTGATCAATGACAGAAATGAACCTTCCCATTATGAGGCGATATTCGACTCCTTAAAATGACTTGCTGGGGCTTTTTTTTAACCTTTGTAAGGGTACTTTTTCTAACCTTATTAAATGTGTCATCTTTTATGTCAAATTCATACATTTCTATTTAAAAATTTAGTTAAAATAATAAGACACAATCAGTAAGAATAAGTTACCAATCAAATTAAATTAGTATCAACAAAATTCATCTTTGCACTGCAGAGGTGGCATAGAAGAACAAAAAGGTGGCGTTTACAGTAGGTATATTTACAGACTATTTAATGAGGCTCAGAAGTGGCATGAATGCATTCAAATTCATGATAACAATGTTATGAGATTAAGGTTTTAAATAGAAGGTTTTGAATACATAATTTTTAAATGATTTAAACGGAAATTATACTTTAAAAAGTTATCTAAAACTGCCAGTAGGGGGCGGCAAGTCACTGTCTTTGTCACTGAATCATTCATTCAATCGATTCTTTCAAACGGCTGATTCATTCAGGAACAAAGCAAGCGACTGTCTTTATGAATGGGTCATTGAATCATTGACTCACTAGATTCATTTTAAAACGCAGATTAATTCATAAACGATGCGCAGTGGTTCAGCTATGATTTTGTTTGGAACTATTTTCGTTGACGAAATAGAGAAAAATCTGACAATACTGTTCCTTAAATGTAAGTCACTTAATATTAAATTTGTTTATTGAATTGTTGTATAAAATCAGAATTTCATCAGAAACTCCATATAATCATTAAAAAGCTGTCACTCGTCTCACAAACTTCCCTTATAATCAAATAAAGCTGCAGTCCTAGCTTTTTTGGGTTAAAAATTATCCAAAATAAATTTGAGAAAATACATAACCAGCCAGTGTTCAAAATTATCTGCTTGCCTTAGCTCGATTCAAAGCGGTAAGCTTGTAATAATGTTTTTAATTCCAGTGGTACTGGTGGATTTCTGCGGGAAATTCGAGCATGTCTTTGGCTGTGTCCGAAATCTCCCACTACTCACTATATAGTGGACTATATAGTGAGCTGAGCTCGCCATTTTGTAGTGCTGTCCGAATGTATAGTGATGATTATTATACCCTATATAGTCCACTCAATGTATCCCAGAATGCATTTTGAAAAGAAGTGTACAACCGATGGTCACTAACCCAAGCCCTACATACCATCATGCATTGCGCTGATCGTAAAAGACCTATCAGCATCATCTTCATCTTTAACTTACAATTTGACGACGTCTCGCTAGCGTAGCAAGAACAGCACGTCGTTTTCTGTGTCTAGAAATCCTGTTTCTTTTGCTAATCCGCAAAATCTTCTGAATCACGAGAACAAACAAACAAAAAAGATAAATATTGAGTGGCATCTCCACAGAGTCTAAAAGCTGTTTTATTAAGAGTATTATGAGCAAGATATTTGATAACGAAGATCTGGTTTTTTTTTCTCCTAATGTCGACAGGCAAGAGAAAACGGTGTGGCGCGAAAATGAAAATATATGAAATATGTGTATTAATTTTATTTATGTTTATAAGTTATAATCATGTGTGGAGTAACGCATTATAACAGAAACGGCCAGAAATTACTTTTAATTTTACAATTTTGGAGAAATAAGCTCAATATAATGTAATGTATTTATTAAAAAAAAAATCTATTTAGCCCAGAGCTGGCTCGGCACCAGCTGACAGATGATGGCGCGTTTAAATAGTGCGACAGTAATGACGTAATCAACGGCGCCGAGAGACGATCGAGTAGTGTCCGAAAGTGGTGTTTCTATTATGCTGGTGAGCTCACTATATAGTGCTCTACTCCCTACCCCCTACATAGGGGTTAGGGAGTAGTGGTTTGAGTGGAGATTTCGGACACAGCCTTTGTGTCATTACGTCACACCTGTACACATAAAGAAGGAGTCTCGGCTAATAGGCTATATTGCGTGTGAGGATGTTGGAGGTGGAGATTTATAGCCTTTTCTCACAGCACTTGATATAATTAAACTTATCAATTTGATGGCGGATCCAGAAAGGTTCAAACGACAATCACCAGCGACAACAGATTCACCCGCTGTAAAATGCAGAAGACTTCGAAAAATAGTTCCGTTGTGTTGAAGGAAGGTGGCCTATTTTCAGGCGCTGCGTCATATCATTACGCCTGCTGCTCTCATGGTACGGCAGTGAAGTTTCTTGATTATTACGCAGGAATGAGAGTATAGTTCCTAGCCATATCAGCCTAGAAAATCGCAACTTTACATTTTTCGGTCTTAGTGCACGATGTAACTACAGAAGAGTCAAGTTTTAAATAGGGAAAATATCAAAACTCTTTGGTCATTTTTTTTTTGAGAAATGCTAATGGTCTTGTCAACTCCAATGATGTATGCTAAGCTATGCTAAAAGTGGTACCGCCAGAACCGGAGATCGGCTGAATGGATTCAAAAACGGTAAAAACTCAACAGTTTAACTCTGGGGGAGTTGTAAAATGAGCCTATTTCCAAAAAAAGTGGAGTATCCCTTTAAGTTGTCTACACTACACAATGAATCTTTTATTTACATTGTGTCTGTACTTTTTTTGCAATGAGAGGATTTGCGAGCTTGCAAAACTCAGTACTGAACATACTCCAGCGTTTTGGACGGTGAGTGGACTTTAACTTAAACTCCTCTGATTGGCCATTCTGTTCAAGAAATCAACAGATATGTCTGTATTTGGCTACATTACTCAATGCTGCAAAAACATGTTCTCTCTCCACGCTCTCCAGAGTGCAAACACAAATACACACTGGCACGTTTGTAAAATCTGTTTGGCCAATATGCTGTTATTAGTTTCACCTGATGGTGCTCCCTCTAGCACCCCCACCGGGCCTGATTGGGTCAGTCGCACTGGTACTCCTAAATACTTTTTGACAGTCGCACGCTGTAAAGTCGCAAATGTGACTGAAAAGGTCGCACTGTAATGCCCTGAGGACGATAACGATAACATTAAAAATGCATATATATATCGGCCGATACGGTGGCCGATATATTGTGCATTCCTAATTTAAAGCGGAAGGCGAAATAACTGCAGAAAACGCTTATAATCAGAACGTTAATGTATGTTGGTGTGGACGCTAATATAGTTATGGTTATTGTTACAAGGTTTCCTTCCTTGTGTCCTTACTTATAATTGGAAGTAGCCTCTTTTTCAATTAAGAAATATCACTCCCGGAAACCTTGAATGGTGTTTTCAGCAGGGCAGTTTTACTTTAATTAGTATCTCACAGTTTTATTGATTGGATGTTTGTTTTTCTGTCTTGCAGTTACAGTTACAGAAGACCCAGTATTTACAGCTTGGTCAGAACCGAGGACAGTACTATGGCGGCTCTTTGCCAAATGTCAATCAGATTGGAAATGCCACCATTGACCTTTCCTTTCAGGTAAGGAGCAGGTGATATCGAGTATGAATAGATGTGTGGAATACAAGTTGTGTACGGAAATGTTATCTTCATGATAGAGCTTCATGATTCTTGATAAATTGAGAATCACATTTTTTTTGTTTAACTAGAGATCACGATTCTCCCACAATTCTGAATAGACAACTAAACGAAATAACATGTAATTTACTAAAGCTCCTGACAAAATTTTAATTACTGCAGTCTATTTAATTATTTTGAACAAATTATTTATTTTATTTATTTTTTTGAATGAATAATTTCAGTGTTTTTGAACAAATCTCTTGAGAGAATGATTCAATGACAAATACATTTTTTAACAGTCACTTGTCACCACCGACTGGTGTAACAATGTAATTAATCTTTATTTGAAGCATCAAGTTACTTTTAAAAGGTGATTTACTTTTTTTTGATTGCTACTGTAGACATCAGTGTTTATATCCAAACTATAAACTTTTATCCCAGTACTTCTGTGATCATTTTAATATTTCTATATTACACAAAAATAACGATACTGTGTGGTTGACAAGACCCCTGGTATATTGGACCCATGTGTTAGCTCATAAAGTGACAGCATTCTAATGTTCCTGCTGCTGTCTGTCTTTTTTAATGTTAGTCAAACAACAAAAGACAGAACAATCACTCATTGCTCTTGACTGAATAACCTTTTGTAACTTTAAGGATTAATTATCTAATTAATTAATCTATGTTTCATGTTTGGTAAAAAATATTTATGGCAGGTAAAGTTTCTTTAGTCACTGGCCATTGGCAGCTGTGGCAAAAAATTAGTTTTAGGCCCTGCCTGCCTATACATGACAGCTGCTCTCTCTCTCTGATTTGAATGTTCGCTGTGATCATACTTATCAAAGGTTTAATAGACATTGCCAAATCATTGTCATTTAGGAATAAGATCGTGTGGGTGTTTGAATCAAAATTGTGATCATTTAACGATTAACCGTGCAGCTCTACTTCATGTTTGTTGGTTTTTATCAGACTCCTTTTCAGAATTCAGTATTAGACACAAGTAGAACGACTCGTCACCATGGGTTGGTGGACAGGGTCTATCGGGACAGGAATCGCATCACGTCGCCACACCGCAGACCCCTCTCTGTGGACAAACATGGCCGTCAAATATCCTTGATGTGTCTAGTCATGAATGCAGACACAATTATTGCACTGCTTTGCTCTGTGTGCCATACAAAAACATAGTTGTTTAAAGTTTCTGTGATTTACTTATACTGGCATTATGAAGTCCTTAATGCTGAATCTCACATTGATAGCTGTCCATATGCCTCTGTGTATCTGTCACCACCACCTGATACCAGCTGGAGGAGGTGAGAGTTTATACTCACACAGTCTGCTAAAGATTGTATATACTGTATGTGCTGGACTAATATGCTAGATAGCTGTTAAAATTGCATGTCAATAATTATTCTTCATCGCTCTTTGATAGCTCAAATAATAAACTCTGATATAGTTTATATAGTTGTTATTGTAACATTGTAATTTTTTTAAGTTGTTTAAAGGGGCTGTATGTAGGCTAGAATTCAGAAACCCTTGTTTTCAGCAACACCGGTGGCCATTAAGTGAACTGCAGCCATTAAATTATTGGCCGTGCTCGCACTCGTGCACATGTAATGCCTGGTACAGATTGTAGGATTTTGGACTGTCTGACGAAAGATGACCAATCGTGGCGATTTCTGTGGCCGTGGCTACTAAACGGTGGTCCTATGTGGCAGGGGCGGACTGGCCATCTGGAGCACCGGGACTTTACCCGGTGGGCCGCTGGCCAATGTGGGCCGGCCCGGTACACATATATATATATAAAAAATGACGGAAATCATAATAGCCTATTACATGTCTTTTCTACGCAAATGGATGAGGGAATCGATCGCGCGGGCGCGGCCGACAAGGAGTGTGTTTCGTGTGCATGCATGTGAGTGTATTGCCCTCCCTCCCTGTTAAGTTTGGTCTACTCCATTGCGTATCTTGAAACACGCCCTCTTTCACGTCCTGGAAACACACCAAGCCAACGCCGATGAACTAGCGCAGAATCAGATGAAAGCCGACTGTCGCCTCGCATCGCCGCGTCGCCTGTGTCGCGGGGAAAAAAGCTGCACTTGAACACACCGAGAGAACTACAGCCGACTGTTAGCTAGAATGCGCGTTCTGCGCCTGAGTGTAAATGAGACAACTGTCTATTTCTGCAGATAAATTCGTCTATATTCGTCATTCAAAAAGAGAAACCGACGCTGGCGGCTGCAGATACACAGCGTAAACAAAGCAGTGCGTGCTTACCGTTCTGAATATCAATCCTGCTAAACACTTTCTTTATTCCACTCCGCTCATGTTAATATTGAAATATTCGCCAAGGAACACCCAGGTAATATGACGTAACATTAGAACAGCCTTCTATCTGTGCTGTTTTGACTTCTTTGCTCGCTGTTTTGCTATTATTGTCGTGCAGTGCACTGACTCGTTCACTAAGCTGAACAGCCAATCAGAGTTCCCTCTTTCACCGACATGTCGAATCGGCTGAAAAAAAGCCGACAAGGACCAATTTCAGCCGACGGTTAAAAAAAGGATTAGAGGTAGATGCTGTGAAATGCTTCAAATTAACAGATTATACATTTGGCGCGAAGAGTAGCAGTTCAACAGCCTCTGATGGCTCTAGCTTCCCCTGACTAGCTGATATGCTGTCTTGATAGTATTAATAATGTTGTGTCTTAATGTTCTTCTGTTTGTTTCCCTTTGGTTTTCCAAATATGACCTAATATATGTTGTGTTACTTAAAATAAATGTTTAAATAGCATTTATTTTTGTATTGTTATATTTTTATGCTGTAAGTGGTGTTAAAAAATATTCTGCAATATATTGGACCAATGTGTTATGATTTGGTATGTGGTGGGCTGCTGTGGGCCAGAAAGTCCAGGGCCACTTTTTGGTCCCAGTCCGCCCCTGCTATGTAGTTCAGTGAGAGAGGTTCAAAAACGGCCGCTGTCACGGACTTACGAACAAAGTCACGGTCCTACAAAGATAGCCGGCGATAATTTTCTGACAGTGTCCGAAATTTAGCATGATCATCTCACAATGTGTTTGCTGCTACGACCTATGTCTACTGACTAGCCAATAAAAATGGCACATGAAAGGTGCTCTAAGCGATGCCACGCGTTTTTTAGGCCAAAACATTTTTTGTCACATACAGGAAACATCTCCTCACTATCCGCTAGCTGCCTGTTCCCTGAACACACTGTAAAAGAAAACGCGGTCTCTGTAGCCATTAATACTTCGAACGTCAACAAGAAGTGACGTCACCCAACATCAGAGCACCTTGAAATAGCATATTGATCAACGCGACATGGCGCTAAAACTACTTACCGCCAATCTTGCTCTATTTGTTTACCACTAGCGCATGCTGATGACGTTTTATTTTTCTATACTAACTTGCGTCATTCCCTACGATTCAATAGGTGTCATCATCGTACAGTCTACATGCATGTCTTAAGTTTATTAGATCCATGTCGTACTACAGTGTGATTTGTAATGATCTTATGGGTTAATCGCACAGTCTGTAGCAGGCATAACGTACAAGGAATTGAATGTGATTCAAGGCCCCGATATACTCATGCCCAAATTCTTTTTCGTTCTTCGCTTAGTACCTTTGCAGCGATATAGCCTACTGTTAAAGGTGCTCTAAGCGATGTCATGTGTTTTTTAGGCCAAAACATTTTTTGTCACATACAGCAAACATCTCCTCACTATTCGCTGGCTGCCTGTCCCCTGAACACACTGTAAAGAAACGCGATCTCTGTAGACAGCCCATGCTTCACAAACAGCACCAAAAACAAACTGCAGCGACCCGCTCCCCAAAACATAACAAACTGTTCCAGCCAATGACCGACAAGAAGGGTTTGGGGGTGTGGTTTGGGGGGTTAGTGTGCGGATGAGGAGGAGGGAGGGTCTAGCTAGCCTCCGTTTTGTTTGACAATAGTTCGAACGTCAACAAGAAGTGACGTCACCCAGGATCGCTTAGAGAACCTTTAAGGGACATTCAGACGCGCTGCTGAGAGCGACTTTTAGGCTACATTCACACTGCGATCCTTAGTGCTTAATTTCTTAATCTCAATTTTTTTTTTGTTTAGCTGTTCACATTGTTGTTTTAAATGTGGCCAATATCAGATCCCAATGTGAACCGATCCTGGTCCTGAACTGACCCGCATGCGCAAAAGAACGATTAAAAAGGCATCATGCAGCACGCTGCCTTACGGAAGTACATTAGAACATTAAAGTACATTAAAGAAAGTGATTACGCGTTTATTTATAGTGTGATCTGCCGCGGAAGCCAGCGAATTTATGCACAGGCGATATAAAATAAAAAAAGAGAGCAGAGTTTTTAAACATTTATGATACAAGGCCGGTTTGAAAGCGGCAGTTAAGAAAGCATCTGATCATAGAGATGTGGATATGAGTGCACAAGCTCAGTTATTCACTGCCATTATGTTGACAGATGAGGTAATTAAAATGACCTCAATTAAATAAATACAGTCAATTACACATTGGCAAAACAAAAAAATGATTAATACATGAAAAATCTTACATATAGCCCCATTAATTGTAAATTGTGTATTTGTTTTATGATTTTTTACCATGAATATGGCCTTTGATACTAATATCGCAATAAAAATATGAATCATCCTTAATAGATTCTTAAAATGAAAGAGCATCCATAATATTTGCTTTTTATTTTTTACAGTTAAAAATGTGATGGTAACATTTTCTAAGATATCTTGCTAAAAGGTAGTTTTCTTATTTAATGTTAGTAATTATCAAATGTTTGTTTATACCTTCCTACCACTATTGTGCATTTGAATCAGCATGTTGTGGTACAATATAATCTTGTAATTTTAGTTAGAGGAGGCTTTTACATCATGTGATTCTTGAATTTCTTTGTTCTGTAGGACCAACTCAGACTCTGCCCTGCACCAGAGCACTTTGAACCCACAAGATGCATTTGCAGGAGGGTCTCAAGATTTTCAGCCAAAACAAGGTTTTTATTTTATTTTATTTTTATTTTATGATCTTATTAAATGCTCTCATCAATGATCTAATGCCAGGTTAAAGGTTGCTGTGAACTATATCCTGTAGAATTTTCCCCACACTTGTTTCAGCGTATGATTTCATCCCTCTCTATGTACTAGTTTTTCTTCTCACTATGCCAGGAACAGGGGAAGCTGAAAGTGACATGGACAAAGAATGTCAAAAGCTGATATGGGATCACAAAAAGGTACATTTTAAAATAGATTTATTTACTATGATTTTCATGTGATCTTTTATCAACTAATTATTTGCCGTTTTTTCTTCTTCATAGAATACTTCACCAAGGCACAAGTCAAACAAAATACCTGGAATCAAGTAAGTGTGGTTTCATTGGATTTTCTTTTTGAAGCTGATAAAGTTTCAAGTAGAGGATAGGTGAATATTGAAGGACCATTCAGTTTGGAGAGTCAAAGGTTAATTTGAGCAAACAATTATCCATTTATTATTCAACCCAACAGCTATCTAGACAGACCTACCCCTTTATAGCAGCAGCCTTGTTTTATCATATCATAATCAGTACAATGGGCTTTTTCTGTTGACGTATCGATTTATCCCGGTTCGTTTTAATTTCCCTCGTGTCATTTCCCCAGCATATTTCCGTCTCCAGATCAGGAAATGACTTCATCTCTAATCCCAGTGGCACACAACACGGGCGGCTCTCTGCCAGACCTGACCAACATCCAGATTCCCCCTCCTCTCCCCACACCTCTGGACCCTGATGACTCCTCATCCTCTCTCAGTGCCTCCAACAGCACTGGCAACCTGTCCAACACTCACATGGGCCTCACGTCTGCCAGCCAAGGTGATTCTGACAAGCATACGCATTAGGACAGTGGTTCTCCCCATTGACCGGTATTCGGAGGTCCCCACCATTTAGGCTAATAGGTTTCCTCTGGTACATCTGCTGTAATGACAAAGCTGAAAAGAATCTCTAATTAAAGTTTTAAAAAGTTTTACATTTCCAGAAATTTTAGTAGCTGAATGTTTTCAGGGATCCCACTCATTTTAAACCAATGAATTTACTATTTTTCCCACGCAATTGTAATTTACTGGGTAAGGATTTAAAAAAAAAGTTTGGTAACATTTTACTTAAAGCCTTTGTATCATTTTTTTAATGCATTAATTATGCCTTGTAATGCATTTTATGGTCTCATGAATAATTGTAACCACAGTTATAATACATTATAATACTTATCTATTCATTGAATACACCTTATTAAAGTATAACGCATTAAAACATATGACAAACAACCAATTTCAGATGTAACAAGGAATCTGCAAATATTATAACACGTTTTAACTTTGGTTACAATTATTTATGAAAAGATATAATGCATTAAATCTTACATTATGAATACCTTATACATTAAGGCTTTAAGTAAAGTGTTACCAAATGTTTTTACTCGCAATTTCTATTCGATAAAATAGGATATGAATTAGGATATGCACTCTGTGTGTAAAGATGTCCTGTGCTGTTACTGTTATAATACTCTTTAATGATGATTACGAGGACTAACCTTGAGACCTTTTGAACATTTGTGGGCAAGATATATTGCATTAAATAATATCTATTAATGCCCCTTTGTCTCTATTTCTGGGTAAAACTAAAAATGGTGTCTGCAAGTGTCTAATATTTCCAATTTAATGATATCCTACATAAATGGATTTTCTAACTTGTATTTAAAATTATTAGGATACTATTAGTTCAGCATTTGATGTGTGACATGTTTTCTCAGCCCAGTCCACGGCGACAGTGAGCTTTCAGCGCCGCCATGAGAATGTAGTTCCTCTGATCCTTAACACAGACTCCCAGCAGCATCTGAGTCTTCAGCAGCTGTCACCCACCCTCTCTCCTCCGCTCTCTCTATCAGCACAGGTAACACTGCTCTCATACCTCCAGCTGCTGAGAAGGACAGCTTTAAGGTGGTGTTACAGGAGGAACATTACTTACTCAGATGCTAATAGACTGTCTCAATCTGGACCTATGGTAAATAGGAGGTGGCGATAGATGCTATGACGCTTGAGCAGCAGTTGGCTCAGTATGCTTTCTTCAGTCAGCCGTCCTCACAGACGCAGACTGCTGGTGGACTTCCTCATCTCCAGCAGAACACCCAGCTGCCACCTGTCTCAGGAAGCCAGACGCAAACCTCTGTGGGCATGGATATTAACACGGTAAGATCACATCTCAGCACTTACCTCCATGGAGCTGCAGTGCATTTCTAGATATTGGGTATGTACGGTCTGTCAATAAGATCATACAGGGCACTAAATGACATTCAAAATAATCATGGATACAGTACCAGTCAAATATTTGGGCATACCTAACCATTATACACAAATGTAAAAAAAAAAAAAAAACAGTAATAATAGAGAATATATATATAAAAAATATTTTTGATTCTTTTAAATCACCTCCCTTTCCCTCTGCACAACCTGTTCATTCTCACAACTGTGATATAGTCACAATTGCGAAATATGACTTCCATACCTTCTGGTCCATCTTTAGCCATTTAAAAACATGAAGAAAAATAACATTAAAAAAAGGACAATTACCCTACCATTCAGAAGTGTTTTTAAAAAAAAAAGAAATTTATTCAGCTAGGATTTACAAAAGATTTCTGTTTGAAATAAATGCTTTTTTTTTTCAACTTTCTATTCATCAAATAATCCTGAAACAAGTTTTCAAAGCAGCTGTTTTCAACTGATAATATTAAGAAATGTTTCTTGAGCAGCAAATCAGCATATAGGAATGATTTCTGAAGGATCATGTGACACTGAAGACTGGAGTAATGATGCTGAAAATTCAGCTTTGCCATTACAGGAATAAAATACACTTTAAAATATGATAAAACAGAAAGCAGTTATAGTAAATTGTAATAGTATTTCACAATATTACGGTTTTACCTTTTTTTTCTATCAAATAAATGCAGCCTTGTTAAAACATGAGACTTTTTTTCCCCCAAAAACATTTTTAAAAAATCCTACCTCAAACTTCTGAACAGTAGTGCATGTAGACAAACGTATTTATCTATAGAACTAATTAAAGCTGCAGTCCGCAGTTTTTACTCTTTGTCGCCATCTCTGTTCGAAATCTGCAATTGCAGTTATTCGTGGAATTATCAACTTTATGTGAGTTTTACCTCGACACCGCACAGCGCTGATGAACACAATGTTTGAGGAGAGTGTGCGGCTGTCAGTCACCGCGCCGGTGTGGATACTGGCATTCAGAATCACAGATTATTCTTTTTGGAAGTATGACCAACATAATAATTTTCACCGCAAAATGTCATCAGGAGTTGAAAATTAGCATTAGCTACAAACTCTATATGCTGTGCATCAGTTACAAGCTTTGTATTGTAACTATGTTTGACTGTATGGTCCCTGTTAAATCCACTTTTGTTCTGGTTCTGACATTGCAGTAAATCGCGCTGATTAAATCTAAAAATCGCTTATCATATCACGTAAAACCGTGCAAATTCTACTTTGTTCTCAAATTGTTAATGTTAACAACGTCAGCATTGCGTGACTACATGTAATGTCCTTCCGATATCTATCCTTGCTTTCGCATGGGCCCGGTTGCAGTTTTGTCTGTAGCCACTCCGAAGTCCTAACAAAGTCTTACAACGGGTGAATCTCTAGTTGTCACTGGTGATTGTCGTTTGAACCTTTCTGGATCCGCCATCAAATTGATAAGTTTAATTATATCAAGTGCTGTGAGAAAAGGCTATAAATCTCCACCTCCAACATCCTCACACTCAATATAGCCTACTAGCCGAGACTCCTTCTTTGTCCAGATGTGATGTAATGACGCAAAATACCACCAGTACCACTGGAACTAAAAACATTATTACAAGCTTACCGTTTTGAATTGAGCTAAGGCAAGATAGTTTTGAACACTGGCTGGTTTATGTATTTTCTCAAAAATGTATTTTGGATAAGTTTTAACCCATAAAAGCTACGGACTGAAGCTTAAAGAATTTAGGGATAAGCCTTTAGATGGCGTTAAAAAAAAAGAAAAGAAAAACGCAATTAAATTATAGATGTCCATACTTTTGACTGGTAGTGTAAACAATAAATTTCAACAAGCAGTGTTCTTTCTTTCTCATTTAAGTTCTCAGCTTATTCTGTTTTAAACATATCATCAGTCTTGACAGTACTGGTACGATCAAGTAAAGACTGAACAGTTTAAATGGCCAAATAATCAGACAGAGACATTGTAGTAAATTATTTCCTGACTAAATTGGGAGCCACAGGCCAAAGTCTCAGGTCCCCTATAGGGGCTCCGTTGGTCTAACTTGGTGTTGTTCCATATAGGCTGCTTCCCTCCAGCAGTACCGCTGTAGGGTGGGGTCTTCGGCCAATCAGTCTCCGACCTCTCCGGTCTCCAATCAAGGCTTCTCACCGGGGGGCTCGCCTCAAGTAAGGCGAACCCAGCAGCCGCTGCTTCCACCCTGTAGTTTGTTTTGTTTGGAGGCGATCTGGAGCCTGTCCCTTTAGCCGCTCTGTGTGTCCTAGTCCAGTCGTGTCTCCCAGTCTCTCTGATCCTGGCTGCTTCGCTGTGTGTCTGAGCACCACTTAGTCGTTCTGTGTATCATGCTGAGTAGCGATATAGGCCAGTTTCATTGAAAGTGCCATTGCTGTTGCATATCCTTTTACCGGATCATGTTGATATTGTGAATTTTGAGCATAACTGCTGGTTGTGTCAGTTTAACACAAGATTATTGTCCTTTAAAATGTATTTTTATGCTACTGCTTTAAATGTTAATGCTTTGAATTAATGCAGATTTAGAGAGTAATAATGAGAAATTAGATTTTTGTATAGTTCTTTGTATCTTACTTGGTAATTCAGGGGTCTTTAACCCCCTGTATCTCGTACCACTAGATATTGTTAGAATTAGGTTTTTGCATCTCTGCGAGCAATCAGCCAAAAATCTAAGAAGAGGGCCTCACTCGGAAAAATGTCTTTTCTAAGAATCTTTTATTATTTTGGAGCAAGAGAATTAAAAAACACTGTTTCAGCCTAAAGCCTTTTTTTAGAAAAATAAATATTTTTTTAGAATGGAGTGCAAACCTCTCCTTGTTTTTGTGAAAAAACAAAAATGTGTTTAAAAAAATACAATATTACCGTACATTAAAGCGAGGGTAGGCAATGTTTTTCATAAACACTTTTTGTTATACTGGTTGAAACTCTTTTCACATCCTGATAGCAATCAATAAAAAAAATGTTCTAAATATTTTTTTTAAATGCACATATATCTTCTGTGGAAGTCTCAGGACCAACATTTTTTCAAAAACCCTGAAAACCCGGGGTGAGACCCGACCTGGATCGGGTCCAAAACTTTGATGAGTGCCCTGGACACGGGTTGGGTCTTGATATTAGTAAATGTGCTTTTACCGAGTGGACCTGAGAAGGTCCAATTTTAAAAAAAAAAATACCAACTTTCCACTATTCGTTTCAGGAGTTTAACAATATGTTATTAAAACAAATACATATTAAATAATTCTATGAAAATATTATTATCCCCTTCTCTGTCAATACGTGTTTAAAAAAATAATTATAATTAAATAACCAAACCCTCCAGAATACTGGTGGCGAGCAGCGGCGATCACTCCACATAGGCCGTTTTCAATCCTGGCTCGTTTGGAGCGTTTGTTTCGGAACCTGGTGCGTTTTCTCGCTTCAACTGCGCTCTGCAATAACAGTGCCATTCGAGAGGATGAATGCGGGCTGGGAATTTGCTTCTAAAATACAAATTTCTTTGTCATGTGAGTTGAAGCATAATGCTTAAAGCTGTTTCATGAAGTACATTCATTCACAAACACTGCCTGCAAAGTCATTGCCTGATAGGGCAGCGATGCAACAAGTCAGCTACCTAAGCTTTCGGACGCAGCTGTAGACAGACAGTCACCGAGTGCCGAAAACAAACAGCAGAGACCGTATACAGTTCCTCCAGAACCAAAACAACAAGCTTATGCTGCGTTCACGCCATGTCGTAATTGCATGTAATTAAGAGATGGCAGCCCGTGACATTCTACACTGAGCTGTGATTTATGCATTTCCATGTCAACACGGTCAATACCGAAATCAATCTGTAGCAGTCAGGTGGTACAAGTGGAGCTCTGTAAGTTTTTTACGTTCATTATTATTGTAATGATATGTGCTTTGAGACATGAGGTAATTTAATGCTGTCTCGTGATGCTTTGCAGAATCTGCTGTGTGCATTCATGTGTGGCTTTGGCTCTAAAGGAAGGGTGGGATCTTATGCTTTCAAAGCTAACTTGCTACTACTAGCCTCTCTGAAATTGGCTACACTAGCTTTAAGATTTAAAAATGTAATATAAAACTAAATTACTCTATAAATCAATAATTATTATTTTTAATGGCTCTGCAATCTAATTGATATAAATTAATATTGTACTATATGCATGTTGTTACTAGCCAGACCTAAAATGCATCATTGAGTTTTATACAATATGTAGTAACAGGGTATATCTGCTCTGTCTGCGCTAGTTCATATTTATCACACATAATTATATAAGTCTTTTAGTTACTTCGCCTTTGGCAGTGAACACTGCTCCAGAGGCCACTGACTGCTCTGATGGGTCCCACAGTGTGGCATGTTTTTTTTTTTCAATTTTGTACTTTTTACTTTGTAATAATGGTGTGCAGCTTCTTCCCTTTGTCTCTAAAAGCCGTTCCAAAAATATAATCACTATAGAGAATATGACTGTAGTGATTGTGTGGATTTTTTTTCTTTGTTTCTTTCTTGTAGATACTGGGTTAGGTTTAGCTTTTTGCTTATCTGTTGCTTTAACAAGGTGTTACATTTCCATACAGTGCAACATGTTTTTGTGTTTGAAATTAGCCAAAATGTCTTCGTCAAAGTAACATGGTGATACAGAATTGATGTTGTCAGTTTTCTTGCATCATGAATTGATGCAGAATGTCAATTTTTTTTAAATTGATTTTGATCCTGTCCATGGGCTGAGAATATTATTTTAAGGCCTTTGTGATAGTCAGTGATCTGTATTGATTATCTTTAGCCTTTTCATGGATGGTGATTTAATAATAATATGTTCTCTTTTTAGCACTCGTCCATTCTGGGAAGTGTCTTTGGTGATGCCTTTTACGACCAGCAGCTGTCTCCTCGGCAGACCAGCGCTTTGTCTCAGCAGGTGAGGCCACTATGTCCAGTATAAATAAGTTTTGTACTTTAGCTGCTCCAGCCCATTTGGAATTTTTTAAGACGCATACAAGACAGTACATATAAAGTTTTACCACAGTTCTATCTGTTCATCTAAATATGTCACTGTCAAGGTCAAATTTATTTATATAACACCTTAAAACAACATGAATGCTGACCAAAGTGCTGCACAACAGACATAACAAAATATCATCATACAATAACATTTAAATACTAATAAAATATATCAGACGAAAAACATCAGAAAAGAATAGATTTAATACAAAACATCAAGCAAATAAAACAATTAAAACTAAAAGTGTAATTGGATTAAGCATAAGCTTGAGAAAAATAATGTTTTTAGAGATGATTTAAATATGGATAGTGTAGGGAATGATCTAATGGAAAAAGGTAAGGAATTCCAGAGCTTTGGACCAAGAACTGAGATAGCCCAGGCGGTCACCCTTGGATTTAAGTCGAGATTTTGGAACAATCAATAATAGCTGGTTGGAGGATCTAAGCATTCTCTCAGGAGAGTAGAAATGGAGAAGATCTGAAATATAAGAAATATGTGAAGAACTACCCTGTCCAGGAACAATTCGTACCTTGCTCTTTACATATACGGGCCACTAGAGGGCAGCTGAAAGCTTTAGGTTAGGATGACAAGTGTAGGGTTTACATGTGAGCTATTCTTTAGTAGTGGCACATAAGAGACACAAAAGAGATGTAGATTTGAATCCGACCTGCATCATTTTTTGTTTGAATCTGCATCATGTTCAGACTCCGGGGGCATGCCTCCCCTGTAAGAAAATTTTGTAAATTTGAAATCTAAATGCATAAATCTGGTGCATTTTGAGAGGGAAATTAAGTAACTAGATCAATGAAGAAATTTGTTCTCCTGTAAACAATTTTGTGCTTTAGTAATTTATTTATTGGTTGCATAGATATAAATGGTGATGGTAGGGCACATTAGTCACATACACAACATATAGTAAATTATAGTTTATAATGGTCAAACATATAGAGTGTACATTTTGAACCATCAAAAATATGTATCAAAAGATGTTACTTTTTTATTATACAATTCATATCGGCAAACTTTGCACCCTGAATTTGAACATCGCTCATGAGAAAAACAGTTCTAAAGCCCTTTTATCATTGAATTCTTCTGGGCTTGGCCCATTGATGGAGACCCTCAAGCAGGCTGCAAGGTGATCTCCTTGCAGTCTGTTATGAAGGTCTAATTTGATCTGAAAATAAGGATAGAAATTTGCGTGTGTGTGCACAGAAAACCACCATCTGTCAGACCGCAATCGTAAATGATGATACAAAATTATACTGGTTCCCTTTCGAGAACATCCACTTCGTATTGCGTAGCTATACGCAGTGGGGAAACTCCTTTTCCTCAAATTCTGAAGCTTAAAATGTAAAACGCATTTTGCTGCTGCACAGCTAGCACAGTGAGTGTCTGGCTCACTCATTGGCTGTGCTGCAGCAACTGCACATCCAATGGCTCCAACGTGTGCGCCAATGAGCTATCATTACGTCATACACGTCAGAGCCCGCCACAAGGGGCGTGGCCATAGCCCATAAAAGCCCCCAAATTAGCCATTATGGCAGATTTCATCTCCTTCAGCGACATACTTCACGTCTCTGAGTCCTTCGAAACCAGCTCTACAGTTAGAGTGTGCACCACTGAGCGGATTTCGCCTTCGCTTCAGAAGCCGTCTTCCCCTGTCGCTTCTCTCCTGTCGCTATCCGGCCACCAACGCAATATCCTTTGTTTGCTTTGCTTTCAGGACAGCGAGCGTTTGTTACAAAATGCCTCGCTTTTCATGCGCCACGTGTGGCTCTCTTCTGCACGAGGCGGACGGGCATGCTAAGTGCGTCGCGTGCCTGGGTTCCGCCCATGCTCAAGCTGCACTTTCCGCCGGCGGATGCTCGGACTGTGAGGGCATGCCCGTCGCGATGCTGCGGCTGCGGCTCGCTCTCTCCCAAGATTGCGACGCCGCTTCCCCTGCTCTTCCTTTCCCCGCCCTTCTGCGGCCCGGGAAAAAGAAGCGCCGCAGCCAGCGTCAACCGGAGGTGATGGAGATTAACGAGCCCACGCCGGCCACATCCCCGCGTGCCTCGTTTTCTCCTACATCGACGCCATCTCCGGTTCTCCGCCATACGGTGGGAGAATTATCTCGACGATTGGCTGAATCTAGCTCAGTCGAGAACCGAACTGTTACACCACAGGTCTTTGATTCTGAACCATTTGCAGTGTCTGGGTCTCAGAATTAATCTATCCAAGAGCAAACTGAATCCCAGCCAGAGTGTGATCTTTCTGGGCACAGTTATCGACTCTATGACTATGAGAGCATGCTTCACAACAGAGCGCGCGCTCTCTATTCAACAGCTCGCAGCCTCTTTCAGGGCAGGCGAACGCTCACGCCTAAAAAAGTTTCAGAGACTTTTGGGGCTTATGGCAGCCGCATCATCAGTGCTCCGCTTGGGACTACTGCGCATGCGCCCGCTGCAACACTGGCTCAAGTGCCGTGTGCCAGCCCGCTCATGGTGGTCAGGCAGCCTATTAGTCACGGTGAATCACGGTTGTCTTCGGACACTGATTCCCTGGCTGGCTCAAGACTGGTATCTCGAGGGCGTGAGTTTGGGTGTGACTTCCACTTGGAAGGTGGTTTTCACAGATGCATCTAACCAAGGTTGGGGAGCGTTACACGAGGGCAAGCCTGGTCGAGCAGAGCTTACACATCAACTGCCTGGAAATGAAAGCGGTTTGTCTGGCCTTCAAAGCTTTTCTGCCAAACATCAGGGGACACCAGGTGTTAGTCCAGACGGACAATACATCTGTGGTGTCTTACATAAATCGCCAGGGCGGCGTCAGGTCGGGCAGCCTGTGCGAGAGATCTCCATATTTGGGCACAAACCAGTCTGAGCTCCCTGAGAGCAGCATATATCCCAGGCATCCTCGACACGGGTGCGGATATGCTGTCACGGGGCAACACTCCCCTAAGCGAGTGGTCCCTGAACCCTCAGACGGTGCACCTGATATGGAAAATGTTTGGCGAGGCCGAAGTCGATCTCTTTGCCTCGAAGAAGAACACTCATTGCACAGTGTTCTTCTCGAAAAGCAGGGATGCGTTGGCCCAACCGTCCCCTTTATGCATTTCCCCCCCGTCTCAATGATACCCCAGGTTATCGAGCGGGTCAGGGAGAGCGGATGCCCGGTCCTCCTGGTGGCCCCCCTCTGGAAATCCAGACCGTGGTTTCGGGAGCTGGTTCAGATGGTGGACGAAGTCCCCTGGCCGATTCCGTTGAGGAAAGACCTCCTCACGCAGGCGGAGGGGACGATATGGCATCCACAACCCGATTTATGGGCTTTCCATGTGTGGCCCCTCAATGGGTACCCGGGGACCTTCCTGAGAAGGTCCTGAGCACGATCAATGAAGCCAGGGCCCCTTCTACCAGGCGCCTGTATGCTTCTAAATGGTCAGTGTTTTCCAGCTGGTGTCTGGACAAACGTTTTGAACCTGTGTCATGTGAGATACCAGTGGTTCTCTCCTTCCTACAAGAGCTATTGGACGCGGGCAGAACCCCGTCCACGCTCAAAGTGCATGTGGCAGCCATCGGAGATTATCATGCTCCGGTGGCTGGCGGAGGAAAAATGACTTAGTAGTAGGAGACCAAGTAGCAGTGCTTCGCCTTCTGAGAATATAGTTCCCAGTATGTGTATACGCTTAAAAGATGCCTGTGTCTCATATGACCTTGTTATTTGTACACACTGTGACTATACAAATCACAACATATAAATAGGAAAATGTTGGCGTTATTTTGTCACTTATTGGGAGCAGTATGCTAGCTGGAGCCATTTACTTCCAGTCTTTGTGCTAAGCTAGGCTAGCGTTGGGTGCGTCAGACAGAGTTACAGCACGCACAGAGATGAAAAGGGTATGTATGGACTTATCTAACTCTGGGGGATACGGTGAATAAGCTAAAGTCCCAAAAAGTCGGCGTGTTTCTTTAACAGAAGAACTGTATGTTTTTTTCCTTTGATTGTCGTCTCCAACCTTCACTTTATAGTAATTGAATTTGTTTTGATTCCTTAGCTGGAGCAGTTCAACATGATTGAGAATTCCATCAGCTCAAACAGTCTGTACAGTGAGGGATCCACTCTAAACTACTCTCAAGCTGCGATGCTCAACCTCACTGGGTGCCACGGCAACCTGCAGGATATGCAGCAGCTAAGCTACAGCAGCCATGGGAACATCCCCAACATCATTCTCACAGGTATTGCACCTGCCCCTGTTAGAGATTGCATAATATTGCATAATCCTTTGTTGTACATGTGCTGATGATGCTGCCGTGAAGTCTAGCATCACAGAGGTCCCTCTAAAACAAGGGTCTCCAACCTTATTTCATTTGAGAGCTACTTTTTAAAAATTAAAGTGGCTGAGAGCTACTCATGTTATACAATACTTAAATCTTTTAAATGTATCATAACTCTCAAATTAACAACAATCCAAACTGGTATACACCTGATGTCAGAAAAAAGAACAGAATCAGAGAATGCAGTTCTTTATGGAACACAGTACTTCGCATATTATACTGTAGTCGTCTACACATAACTATTGTTGGTTTTTATAGTGCATCATATCTAGAGATAAAATGGTATGAAAAATTCCATATCACGATCATAGTGATCACGGTATTGTTAAAGGGATACTTCACCTCTGGAAAGATGAATGTGTCTTTAAAATGGGTCATTTATGTAGAAGAAATGTGAAATTATTTTTTGAATTTGGAGCTTTCTAGACTGAGAAAAGCCAGAAAATGTATTTTTGGCTTATGTGGATGAAAGACAACAACTCCCAGAATGCACTTGCTTCGCTGCCTTAGGAGGCTACGCCTACCGGTAACAGAGCGCAGTAGTTAAAGGGTCACTCCACCCATTTGCATTAAGAGGTCCATTGTTAGACAACCAGTCATACTATTGAATGGTCGTGCAACATTCTTTCATTTTCCCCTGAGACAAGAGAAATCTACTATTTACCTTTTTCACTTCCTCCTACAATGACGCAAAAATCGTCATTTGACGTCATTGTAGGAGGAAGTGTAAAAAGGGGGGATTTCTGTATAGACTACAAGCACAAATTCCCACCCTTTCAAACCCGCCCATAGGGGGTTGTGCCTAATGCGCTAACAGAGCTATCACTCACAGATCAGTGGGTGGGACTTCACTTGCAGATACTGAAAGCAATATCAGCCATCTTGTTTATAAGCTAAGCTAACAAGCGCTGTGGAGATAGGAAGTTACGACAATGACGGAAGAAACTAAACATGATATGGAAGTAGAGGATTTTGAAATTCTGCTGCTCGAATCCGCTCTTCGTGGCTATCTTTACGAGCCGCAATATAGTGAAGAGCAGCTGAGCCTGATGGAGGATCAGGAGGCGGCTGCCTGTCGCGAACGAGGAGCCCGGACTGGGTCGAGCTGAGGCGGGCTGCTGGTGCGTGTGCTCTCGCTGTGCGCTACGGACACAGATAGAGTCCGTCTGCTGCAGAGAATTTCAACGATCGCAATTTCTCCTAGACGAAATCTCTGAATCAGACGACCACACGGACGTTTGTGTTGTGATGTGAACAATCCTAGTTTCGCCTGACTGAAAATCCAGGTATCATGCAATAATTCACCATATAGAAAGAAATACAAACGAGTAATTCACTAATGAGTTTGCCAATGTAACGGGGTTCGTTGTTGTGGGAAGAAGGAGGCTGGAACCGGCGAACATTTAAACATTTTAATAGTAAAATAAACAAATACAAAACAAAAGTATAAGCCAGCTGGCCACACACAACAGAAACAAAACATAAAATCAGGCCTGTTCCTTTTGTGCTTCCGCTCCTCCGTGAGAGATATGAGACCGCTGCAGAGGTGCCATTCATTATCACTCGCGTCGTCCTCTCACGTCCCTCGCCCTCGTCCTGCTCGCCACAGCCAACTAACTAGACATTTTTTGTGAAATGAATTTCAAACTCATTTAGCAGCTAGCCTTCTTGTAGACGGAAGAGTGATTTCTCTGATGTTTGCGCTGTTCTGGATTAGTGGGAGTGGCTTGCGGAGCTGTGCAACGTGGTGCATTGTGGGAGTTGTTGTCTTACATACAAATGTGCCCTAAAGTTATTTTCTGTCTTTTCTCGGTCAAGAGGGCACCAAATTCAAAATTTCTTTTACATTTCGACTACATATATAACCCACTTTCAATAAAGATTAATGTTGAAATGGGTGGAGTGACCCTTTAAACAACAAGTCTAGGCTACTAGTGAGTCTCCGTGATGAGTCTGCCCGAAAATGTGTTTCGAGATCGCCCAAAATGTCCGGGATTCGGCTTTTGCGTTCTACAGTCGCCATTCATTATGTTTACTGTGGCGAGCAGGACAAGGCTGAGGGCCGCGGGAGGATGGCGCGAGTCCGGCGCGAGGCCGGTGGCGTGATTACTGATGAGCGACACCTGTGAGACACACCGGTCTCGTATCTCTCACGGAGGAGCGGGGATTTTCTTAGCAATGTTAAAACGCACATCAACCGATCACTTGTTTAGCGTTCATGTAAACACTACATTCAGATTCACCAATCGGAACGAATTCAGTCAGACTGAAACAAAAAGTGTGCATGTAAACAATGAATGGCGACTGCAGAAAGCAAAAGCTGAATCCCGTACATCGACGGCCGGACATGTCCGGGAAAAAGAGGATGGTAACCCCTACTACTCAGCTTTCTCCACAGAACAAGAGCCTGCTAGCTTACCTTCCAAAAAAAGATGTCTGACACTGTGTACATTCTGTGAGTGAGATCCCACCCTCTATGAGGTAGAGATGCGCGGATGGGCTATTATTTCATCCGCAACCGCATCACAAAACTCATCATCCGTCCGCCATCCATCCGCACCAACGTTTTTGACCAATTTTCAAAACCGCACCCGCCCGCCATCCGCTGATACAAGGCGCTGCTGATGACAGCCGCGAGACTAGAAACCGCCCGCCACCCGCCCGAATTTAATTAAAATATTTTTTTTCGTCACGTCATCCGCCCGATCCGCGGTTTATCCGCGGAGTCCGCGGCTATAACCGCCAACCGCGCATCTCTAATGGGCGGGTTGAGAACATGCAGGACAGCCCCTACTACTGGCTGTAGTCTTTAGCCTCTGGCCAAAAAATCCTCCGATATTTTTTGTCCAGACAAAAAATACATAAATCTCTCGTCTCAGGGGGATATGAGGGTGGAAAGCACGGTAATTCGAAAATACTACAGGTTTTCTACTAATACAAAGCTTAATGCTAAATCCTGAAGTATCCCTTTAAATGTGCTGGAAACGTTTAAAAAGTACTAGTACGACACACTAAAGTCATTTCAAGTTTTATGCCGAAAACCGACTAACAAAAAAAAAAAATGAACGGCACTATACACTTTTTGGTTGCATAAACATTCAAATAAAAACGTATAACATAGGGGTGCCTTACAACATAACATGTAATGTTCTAACCTGTACTACATGTTCATATAAAGTTTCAAAAAAAGTTTTTAGAAAATTATAAACCTCACATTTCAGCCTTTAAATCATTTTAATGAAAAGGTCAAAATGATAAATTATAGGCATTTATCTGCTCTATAAACAATTCACAAACAAACAATTCAACATAGGCTGCGCTATTATCTGAAGTGTTGAGATTTTGAGAACGCACATTAGCTTAATTTCTATCTACTGGCTAAAATGTAAAAAGAAATTGGTCCGATTTTCACAGTGGTCTGAACAAAAAATGTCAGACAGGCTGAATGAAAATGTAAGTAGGTGGCGCTTATGGAACAGCAGAAATAGAGCTGTTTCCCTGGTAACCTCTGTAAACAAAGCAGCTGGTAAAAACTCTACTTTATTAGGCTTTACACCGAGGGAAGATGAAAAGCAAATGGTATCTAAACTTTTCTGAAGACAGTTGGTTTCCCCCTTAGAGATACATTCATATAATTCATACATTCTTTCATATACTGTAATTCCTCTCAGCACTCTGTCATGTTTTCACACAAAACTAAATCTACGATCCATGCTGTGCCTGTGCAAGACTGTGTCTAACTCTGCTTAATGCTGGACAGTTTTTACTGCAAGGTTTTCAGATAACGATAATCAAATACGGTTTTAATACGAAAGCCAAGAGGCTCCAGTTACTGTATAATAAACCTTTATTGTTGCTAGTCTAGCCCCTCCAGTTTGAACTGCCCGCTCTAAGCGGGACTCGGACCCGGGCGCTCTAACAAGGAGGCTAAAGACCACAGTCTCTAGCGTCAGTTGCTACTGTAGAATGCCTCTTGAGATTAGGGGTGTGAGGTTTACACGCACAGCTCTCACTGGCCTTTGTCTGTTACACTAGCGCCGCAAATTAGGCACAAACATATTTCGCCAACATTTGTAAAAAAAAAATTTTTTTTTTAAAAACATTTATTTATTTATTTTACTTTTTTTTGCTTGAATGCTGTCTTTACTCATCCTGATACAAACCAAGTTTTGTAGCTAATACTGCCTTGTAGCCGTGTAAGCGTGATGACATGCTTGATTGAAACTTCGCCGTCCCGGTATTTTTTTTCCTATTGTTGGTTGTTATTCTGTTATGTTGTAATTGCATCTGCATGTTAAATAAATAAAAAAATAACCTCACGGCCGATGTGTCAAATAAATACTTGATTTGCATTGGAGGGGGGAGGGCCAACTGTCAATTTTAGCTCACTCTGATTGGATGAAAAGTACGTCTTGGTTAACTACCTCGAATTAGGCCACGAGCTACTGGTAGTGTGTTGGAGACCCCTGTTCTAAAAGTTGAACCTTTGAATTATATTAAGCATCTTTTAGTTAAAATTTCCTCCAAGCCTATCCAAAGAGTTGTCCAACTCCCTAACAGGTGACATGAGCTTTGACGCAGATTCCCAGTTCCCCCTGGATGAGCTGAAAATCGATCCTCTGACACTGGACGGCCTGCACATGCTCAACGATCCAGACATGGTTCTGGCCGACCCCGCAACAGAAGACGCTTTCCGGATGGACAGGCTGTAATCTTTAGGTATATGATGTTCATTTGTCCTTCTTTGAGATCGGTGTGATTAAGAGGGAGAGAAGCAGCATGTCTGTGGGACACTTGACCCTGTTTCTCAAAGCCCATCCTCTGGGAAGAGATTGCTGAGAATGTTGCCACCACATGCTAGGGAAAAATGGGAAAGCAGTGCTGCCTCAACCTTTTGAGCAAGCAGCCCATCATTTCTTAGGATAATACACTCACACCTCAGCAATCATGGATTCCTTTAGCTCTATGTGAGAGAATGTGACACTACATACGATCCCTCGTGGTTCAATCATGCGTTCTTCCATTTCATTTCCTGTAGAAGCCCCTCCTCCTCCTCCTCCTCCTCATCCTCCTCCTCCTCCTGATGCACACTGTACATGCCTGTTACTTTCCTTTTTTCTTTTACTAAAAATATTTATTTTATGCACTTTTATACATGCATATACCACCAAAAGCATTGTTTGTCATGATCTGATTTATTTTCCTACACAAATGTTTCTTGCTTTTAAGAGCAGGAATGGTTAAAAAGGAGTGTTAATCCTCCCCATTTTAAGGGCTTTTAGACATGAACACAAATGTACTTCAGTGCAGTCTGAACATATGATTGTAATGTTTTATAGATGTCTAGTTTCGTCTCACCGTGCTCAGATAGCTGTACAGCTTAAACAGTGCTAATGTGGCTCAAGATGATCAAACTAATCTAGTTGAAAAGTGTCTAACTGGAAATCCTAATATCAAAGGAGGACACATTTGATACTGTTTAAAAGGGATAGTTCACCCAAAAATGAAAATCCTGTCATCGTTGACTCACCCTCATGCTGTTCCAAACCTGTATGACTTTTTCTGTGCAAAATATGATATTTTGAAGAAATGTTTTTGTCCATGCAATAAAAGTCAATGAGGTCCAAAACAATACATTTGGACCCCATTGACTTTGTATGGAGAGAGAGAGAGAGAGAGAGAGTGAGAGAGTGAGAGAGTGAGAGAGAGAGAGAGTGAGAGAGTGAGAGAGTGAGAGAGTGAGAGAGTGAGAGAGTGAGAGAGTGAGAGAGAGAAGGCCTCACACACTTTATTCAAGAGACTTTATTCAAAATATATTCTGTGTTCCACAAAAAAAGAAAGTCGTACAGGTTTTAAACGACATGAGGTGATGATGACAGAACTTTCATCTTTGGTTGAACTATCCATTTAAAATGTGCAATATATGATTCAAAGAGATTAATTAACTGTGTCATATGATTTGAAAAGATTCAAAAGGCAGTAACTAGTGAATAACTGCTTTCAACTTTTTCGTGCCAGTAAAATGGTGGTGTTTTAAATCAACATACTTTAATGTACAGTATGTACTGTTACAATATGGCCTATAAGCTCAGCCGTGGTAACTGGTATAGTCAAAATGATGCTGCAAACTTTAACATTACTTGTAAGTTCCTTCGGTTTACTCGAAAAGACACATGAAGACAGTATGTGATCATGGCAATCGTTTGCATATATGTATCAGAACTAGTCACTGTGATAACCAGATTCTGCCTTACACTGAAGATGCAGTTTTTTTCCGTTTTGTTCTCCGTTGCTGAAGGTGTTTTCTGGTACTGTAAAAGTTGCTGTATCTCATGAGGTTGTTCTGGCGCAAAGTTCTCATTCGTCTTCTGGTAGCCTTGTGATGTCAAATGCCCAAAAGGGGAGGTTTACTACTCTTTTTAAATCCTGTCACATTCATCTTTATCTCATTTTCCTCAGACTTTTATACTCTAACCACTTTTGTAAGTGTGAGAATTTTGTTTACAAAATTGAAAACATCGTAATGTTTAAATTATTGAAATGCTGAATATATAAACGTATGTATATATATATATATATATATACTGTATATACTACAGTATAGATACTGTGTGTGTGTGTATATATATATATATATATATATATATACAGTATATATAGTAAAATATTTTATACTATAAAATATTTTAAGAAATGTTGTTATCCGTGTAAAACTTCTACGTACAAGGGGATAATCGGATTTGGATTAATATCTATGCAAAGCATAATCAAACATACTAGATCACAAAAATACTAAAGAAAAGCTCAAACAGACGTACAGCTTTTACAGCATCTGTGGGTTCTGAGTCCGTGCAGCTGAATTTTACTTGCTACATGGATTTTTTTTTTTTGGTCTGTTGTCAGCAAAAAGGTAAAAAAGAGAAGCCGTTAATGCATGAAAAACGTTTGGATTCTCCGTAAGGGATTCATTTTGTAAGGCATCTGATTGCACTGTGTAAATTTCCTGTACAAAAAAGCATGACCTACATGTGCTTTGTCTCTGACAACTGTTTTCATGAGGATCACGCTTCGTGTATTCAAGATGTAAAATAATTGACGGGAAGGATGTGTCAGGTAATCAGTTACTGCTATATTGGTTTATTTGATTGCCTCATCAAAAAGAACAGCATTGCTTAAACCAGAATGTATTTTGACACTTGTAGGACCAAACATATTACTGACACTAGCATTATTTTCGTTACTGTGATGTTTGTGTACTTTTCCATGTGTTTAATACCGGTAGTTGCCCTCTGCATTGTTGTGGCCCCTCCATTTCATTTGCTAGAGGCTGCATTGTACAGAGGCTCAGAGCTATTGAGCTGTGAGTGGTTTTATTTTTATTTTGCATGTCTGACCATCACAAGTATTGGTGATTGATAAGCTGTGCACTTTTATCTTTTTGATATTTTATTTTACATCTCTATCTATGTGTTCTGCATTTGTGAACGTACTACATGAGAACACTTCCTACATTTACTTGGCACTTTAATCGATACCCCCCCCTCATCCCCCATTCTTCTCACTACCCTCTGAGTGACTGTTAAGTGCACTGGGTCTATTTCCCCCCCACTGTTTGGCCGATTTTGCCTTCTATTCTAAGACAAGTATTTTTGAAAAGGATAAAAGTATCTGTTGTCTATTTATGATTTTATACTTGGTCAGCGCAAAGAAAAGAAAACAACTTTTTTATGTAGTGTTAGGAAAGTATGAAAGTTCCCCGATATTTAAGAAATGAAGGCAGGTTACCTTTCTGTGTCAATATACCGTAGACCAGTTTACCTTTTATAAAGCTTCATCTGTGGATCATAGTGGATCATTACCATGAATTGAACCAATCCAGAACATTTCTGGTCCAGAAAGGAGAGCATGCAGAAAAAAAAGGTCCTTCATCATTGTACTTATTCAGTATCTAATGTATGCACAGCCTTCATGTACATAAATGCTACACTTATACATTTCTATATTTTAAAATGTAAGAGTAGAGCGCAAAATATCAGGAGTCTGTAAAAATAAATAAATAAATATATATATATAAATAAATGAAATGAATTAAATGGAACTGTATGTTTTTACATTTTAAAATGCTTGAAGTGGACACTATACTGTCCCTCCGTTCAGGGGTTTCACACTTTCGTCAAACTCATGTTTTAAATACACAGGTCTGTGTTCATTATCAAGTGTGCTCACACTTCTAGCCAAATCATAAAAGAATCCCTGCTGCAAATGTACACGCAGTTTTGCTTTTCAGCCTCTATACACTGAACATTGTTGAAGCTTTGTGAAATAATATTCTCTTATGTCTTTGTTTTGTAGTATTTGCAGTAGAACTATTTGTTGCAGGCTGATATCCTTTTATTTTGTGTTTTGTATGTGTGTGCATTGGGAATTGATGTTTAAGTACTGTAAAAGTTGTCTTCACATGCTCAAGGTCTGTTTGCTTCAGTGTGTTGTAGATCTGTGATTTCTTTGTTGTGGTTGCTTTATCCACTTCAGTTCCTAGATTTCCAAATATCTGATTTGTAGGCCAGATTTCTTTGAATCAAAAATATTTTCACAAGAGTCCTCCTTACGCAAAAACATAAGATAACTGTTTTACAGGATATTACGGAGCCCAGCACATAACATGCAGACAAAAATGTATTGTGGCCACAAATTAAGAATTCATTCTCTCATTTTACTAAATCATGGGCATGATTTACTAATTCGTTCACTCATTTTAGTAAGACTTTCGTTCGTCTTCAGAACACAAATCTTTAGATCTTTTTAATGAAATCTGAGAGCTTTCTGTCCCTCTATTGACAGCTACGCAACTACCACATTCAAGGTCCAGAACGGTAGGAAAGACGACATTAAAGTAATCCATGTGACTGCAGTGGTTTAACCTCAATTTTATGAAGCAACACGAGTGCTTTGTTTGTGCAAAAATCATAATTTACCACTTTATTTACAAAAATATTGACCTGTATCCCAGTAGGGAGAGCACCATGTGTGTTGTGTTGACTCGAGAGCTGACGTAGTTCCGTCAACGCGCTTTAGATAATATTATTTTGTAAATAAAGCTGTAAAAAAAAAAAAGTATTTTGGTGCAAACAAAGCACTGGAGTCACATGGATTACTTTTATGTCTTTACTACTGTTCTGAACCTTGAATGTGGTAGTTGTGTAGCTGTCAATGGGAGGGACAGAAATTTCATTTTGGGGTATCTAACCCTTTAATTAAAACTAGTTAAAGTAAATCGTTGCCATGTTGAACTAATTTGTTCCCTCCGTATGATTGAACTAAAACGAGGGAAGAAATTAGTAAAACGTGCTAACGTGTTAGTAAGTCGTGGCGTGGGAATGAATTGTTAATTTGTGGCCATTATATACATTTTTTACCCCGCATGTCATGTGCAGGGCTTCATAGTACGCATTTGAAAACTGCAATCTTTTTCTTTTTCTCAGCATTGAGCATCTTGTTAACTTATAAATCATAAGCAAAGTAAAGAAAGTAAACAAATGACAATTTAAACAAAATTTCTATCTGAAATCTGAAGATATCCTGTTTAACATATCTTGGAAGGAACCGAAATATGCCGAGTAATGATTTGAGGAAGGATTTCTCCTTAATTTGCTCCAGTAAATACACTTTTAATATAAAATAGAGTTTCTGTTTGTCCCAAACAATTACAGGGTACTTTTTAATTGTGCAAATGCTTTTTATGAGGGTGCCAATAGATTTGTAGCCATTTTTAATCTAGTCAAAAATGTTTCGCAACTTTTTTTTTTAAGCGAAGGCCTAATTTTTATTATTAATTCTAGGAAATTTGTTTTCATATCAGTCATTTGCCAAAACGCCCAGTTCATAGGGCCAGAAAAATAAATTGTGCAGAAGGTTTGCTTGTATATTTTACTTGCATTCTTTCTCTATAATTGACAAGCCATTGAAAAAAAAAAAAAGCCAAAGTTTGTTGTTTGTACCTTTTTAAATTAAAGTCATGCTTTGGCTATGGCCTGCTACTGTTATGTCTTCAATATGAAGATGTTCTTGAGTAATTGTCAGTTGTCCTCACTGGCTAGGCTCTGTCTTTGTTGACCAATGGTTAAAATGTACTTTGGTACTTTAGGACAACCGTATTTAAAAATCAAGCAGATATGTACCTTGATGTTTAATCTCTCCCAGGGCCAATCATTTACATGAGACTCTGTATGTCTTCAGCCTTTATATTGGGTGAACTTTTGCTGCATGGTACGGAGTATTAAAATACCCGAAAGTCTTGATGTGATGTCCTGCTTTTTTGCAGTTATCAAGCTCTAAGTATATCGAAACTCTTTGCTAGTGCATTACTAAAACTTTTGCAACTGGAAATATCATTTTTGACAAAGTGGTTTTGTATCTTTCTTTATGTACAAAAAACATTTGTTAGAGTGTTAAAGAGACAACATGATAATGCAACCCAGTGGAACTGAAACGTATACACAACAAAACTTTTAAAATACTCTTACAGTATGTGCATTTAATGAATGTGAACTGTCTCGGTGGTTCATATCTATACAAAGGCAGCTAATTTCTATTTTTTCAGTGTATGATCATTCAGATGTTGCACATACATTTGACTGCAAAGTTCAGACGTTAATCCAGTTTTTTTGCAACAAAACATAACTATACTCACTAAATATGCAAAATTAGCTTTCAGGAACATAGCTTTGCAGCTCTGTGGTTTGGTTTACCTGACCCTTTAAAACAAAAGGAAAATATGTTCCTATTAGTTTTCTATGAAATATAGAAGACAAAATAAAAAATGAATATGAAACATTGTGGGCTTTGTAAGTGTGCTACTTATTTAAAACAAAATGTTATCAAGCTTAAATTCCATTGTCCTTACTGTATTTTTCTGTGTGGAAGCTTAAGTCTTTGTACCTTTGCATTAATATTTGTTTATTGAATTGAATAAAAATGTTTAAAAAAGCATATTTATTTCTATGTTTCTCTCTGTTTTCAAAACTATTGGGACCATAGAACAGTTGGGACTGCTCTTATAACTATTTGAATGTGCTCCATACAAGGGCGTAGATTTGGTTTGAACATTGGGGGGGGGTTGTAATGTTTAATATAGTTAAAAAAAATTGTTCTCCATATTTTTCTTGTGATCATGGTATAAATATTGGGGGGGGGTTATCTCCCCCCCAACCCCCCCATAAATTACGCCCCTGGCTCCATACATATTGTAGTAATATTGTTCAATTTGTACAACTGTTTGTAAGTCATAAATGTATTTCAATAGACACTAATGCTTATACAAAAAAAAATTTTTTTATTATAGTTATATCAATTCAGCCAGACAAACAATGTTTTACTTTTTACACACATGCACAAATATTGTAGTAACCGGTTTGCATCATTTGTCTGGTTGAATTGATTTGAACCTGCGTGATGACGTCACGCGGCGTCGCGCTCTCCCATAATGCAGCGGGCCTGAGGTTTTGATCCAGTGGAGTTCATGAGATCGTCGAGAGAGCTCGACGCAATGAGGCGGAGAGACACGACAGCCGTCGAACCTTCATCTCCTAACTGAACACACACATACACCATTTCTCAAGCCAACAATCACATCAGAAACATGTGGTTCCGCAACTTCTCAATCCTCCCGAGAGGTCTGTGAGTTCCTGCAATCCATTAAGCCCTTGAATCCGGAGGATTTTTCCCCCGTCGGCCGATTCGCACCGAGCAGGCAATGACAACGGCCTCCGCAACCCCGCAGCAGATGAGAGACCGGCTGCTGCAGGCCATCGATAGCCACAGCAATGTGAGTAACTCGCTCACTCTCCTGCCGACCAGAGCTCACTTTCCCCGACACGATACAGTTAGAGCCTTATCTGAAGCCGCCAAACGCCGTACCGAGCGCCTGAATGTGTGGCAGCGCAGATGTGGAGCTCCCAGCATTAGCTGTCCGCTAACTGACGGGAGGCACATTTACCCCGCGCGCTGCGCGAACAGAACAGTCGGACAGGCACCAATTTGCCCTGATTTCAAACATAAGCATGCAGTGAGAGATTTTTAAAAAAGCTGCCATCTCGATTTAAGGTGTATGATTCGATCAGTCACAGATGACATGTTGTGTGAAGCCTGTTAGCGGTATCATGCCAAGCTATCTGCTCTTGAGCTCTGGAGCAGATTTAAAGAATTCTCTGCTCGCTTAACGTTACCGTATCTCTAAACAATATCTCTAATGACCCCAGTGTACATCGTCTGTTGTTTCCTGCTTATAAATGGTACATCTTGGCTGAAATGAGCTAGGTGTACGTGGCTAGCTGACACAGTGGCATTAGCAAAGAGCTAGCAGGTGAATTCATGCTGAGAGCAGTGAGTTAGCTTGATTGATTCTGTATCACCAAGAGAGATTAAAGCTATTTTGGTGCCTTCAAACGGTCCTGGATGTTTCTCTCTCTCTCTGTGTGTGTATGTGTGTGTAGACTAACCTGAGCACACAGCTGGTTGGTGTTACGGCAACGTTGCGGTGCTATCTGGGCACTCAGACCATCTAGAGCTAACCTGCTGGCTGACTGGAAAATGTGACAGCCACATTGAATGTTTTGCTAAGCTAACACCTCGCCGTAAAATGATTAATGAAGAGCAGTATAGAAATAATCAGTGTAGAGGTTTAAGGAAATAAACAGTGTAATTGCCGTCGCAATAAATAATCCCTACTTTAAGGTTTCAGTGAGTCTGTCTTCACTGGAGCTTTCATGGTAAGTAAACACTGTTAAGATTTGATTAACCCCTAAAAGATGTTTAAATCCAAGTTCATTTCATACACACTTTGACTATTTATGTACACCTTTGGGTTTTGTTTGGCTATACATGTCCATACATCGTTTAGTGCATTGTTACTGGTCTCCTGGGGTTAAATTGGTAGGTTTGGGTCAGGAGGGTCAGTATGCTGCCCTGGAGTAAATGAAGGTTAAACCAGTTGTCTATTGATTGAAGAACAGGCTGAGCTTCTACTACCACAGATTAAAAGACTTTTCCACCCTCACTTTGAATGCGAGATGAGATGTCTCAGACATCATATAGTAAACTATAGGGCATCACTCTTGTTTAATAATATTTTACATGTGAAAGGTACAAGAGGGTGTAGAAACGATGTAATGTTTTTAGTTTTGTGTGCCAAGTTATGTCAATGTGTCTTGTAATTGGTTTCTTTATATTACACTTTGAGCAACTCCATGCTCTATTATTTATAGCTAAAGACTGGGATACGCTATGTCACTTGCAGACTTTGTAAATCGTTACTGAAGAATATTGGGCATCATACACTAAATGACTGAGGATCACACACTGTCAGACTTACAAGTCGTTCCAAACGCAACAAACTCATGCAGAAACATGGACCTCAATTCTAGAAGACGCATGGCGTATTAAAACGTGTTTTAAAATTGGCTCAAAATATCAAACATGTTTGATATTCTCCGACTGGACAGATTCATACTCTGAAGTTAAAAATCAAAGTCTGTGCCCATCATGCACTATGCTATTTTCTGTGAAATTTGTCTTCTCTAACTGGCCAAAACCTGGAGACTGACTCTGACTTTCAGCAACAAGTGTTGACTCCTAGACTACAAATCAGGGTCACAAAAGTTGTGTAGTGTATTCTAGTATTCATTTTGAACATTACCTATCTTTAGAACATGATTCCAAATTTCTTCTCTACCCGTTATTTGAGATATTTCATACTGTCATTGAGGTTTCATGTTAAATTGTCCCTCTTCCTGGACAGATCTGTAACATGGTTGCAGTTCTTGATGTTATCACCAATTTGGAGAAATACCCTATCACCAAAGAAGCACTTGAGGTTGGTACTTAATTATTCTCATCATCAATAATATATTTTTTGTTATAAATCTGCATAAGACAAGTCATGGCATATCGAATACTGTTTCTGGGTCCAAGTCTCTACTCAGATTCCAGTGAGAATACTATCTTAAAACCCATTTATGAGCACTGTGCGTTTATATAGCACACCTTTAAGCTAAGTTTTTAAAAACTCAGTGTAAACTACCATTTCTAGACTCACCGTGACCCAGACAGCAATATTTGAATGATTTAGAAAAGATAAATCACTGTCTGGAAGATAAAAGTTGAGGGTCGGGATTTAATTAAATTTTTTTGTTAGTAATACAGCACCATGAGTGTATTTTAGCACTGTTTGTTGTTTGCTTTTGATCTGATAGAGCATTTGTACCAGGAAACAGTGATGCGTGACGTCTGACTTAACACCCGACTAATATCTTATTTATCATTACTCTTCGTTATGTTTTCATGCAGTTTGAAATAAATAGTCATTGTTTATTTTATGTTCAACAGAAAAATACATTTGTGAAAGCTGTGTGATATGTAATATGCAATTTTGAGACTTTAATCTGTTTCATTTTCAATGCAGGAAACCCGCTTGGGAAAGCTGATTAATGATGTGAGAAAGAAAACAAAAGATGAGGACCTTGCCAAACGTGCCAAGAAACTCCTGCGGAACTGGCAGAAGCTGATCGAGCCTGGCCAAAGTGACACTCCGGCGAGAGGAGTGCCAAACGTCCCGGGCTCTGCCAACGGAGGTGCTCACCCCTGCCGGACAGACACACCTCCAGTGGTCCCCCCTCCAAGCAAGGTTGCTCCTGAGCTTAAAACCAGGAATGACATCCATAACACGTACTCCCCAAAGGCGGAGAAATCCAGCAGCCGAAAGCGGCGGGGGGAGCCAAGGGATAGTCCGCATCTGCCGGCCAAAATGACAAAAACGTCCCTTTACGAGCCAGTGTATTCCTCTTCCCCACCATCAAATGGAATTAGGGGAAGTCCCGAGCCACTTCCGGAGAAAGAGGATGATGCGGCGTCTGACAGGATCCGCCCGGAACACCTAGAGAATGACAGGCACAACAAAATCCCTGTCAATGCTGTGAAGCCTCATCCAAGCTCTCCGGGGCTTACCAAACTACCTAGCACTTCCTCCCTACTCAAAACATCAGTGTTACAGCAGCATGCGAGAATGGACGGAGGCGGGCAGAATCAACCCAAAAGCCCTCGGTACTCCTCGAGTCCACGCAGCATAACACACGAGGCGATGGCAAAGAGGTCTTCAACATATGCACCAAAAGGGACTCTCTCGAGCCCGTCTCAGAATTCTGCCCAAGTGCCCTCTCCTTTGCCCACACTGCAGCCTTTAACGTCACCGGCCCAGGTGTGCATCGGGGACGGTCCATCATCTGTGGGGCTGGAAGGCTCCATGCACTTGCACAGATTGTCGGATAGAGTCTCGCAGCCTCCGCACAGCACTGCAAAACTGGAGCCGCTCTCCAGCTCCCCACTCACCGCACACATCTTAGAGGGCGCTGAGACCAAGGGTGAGCGGGAGGGGGCGACCTCCAACTTGGAGGGCAAAAAGAGGAAGAAATACAGACCCAGAGACTACACAGTAAATCTTCAGGGGCAGTCCTCGGAGGACAGGACCAAACCTGTGCGGTTAAAAGAGCGCAGGTTGACGTTCGACCCCGTGACCGGACAGATTAAGCCCCTCACTCCGAAGGAATCCCACCATGAGGAAGAGTGCCAAGGACCGCCGATTGCAACGCCCTCGGTGAGGACTGAGGTGCCGCAGCAAAAGACCCCTACGTCGGTTCCCAACCCCTTTCAGCAGACGAACTGGAAAGAGCTGTCCAGAAATGAAATCATTCAATCGTACCTTAATCTTCAGAGCAATGTTCTTACATCCTCTGGAGCACAGACCCACGGGGCGCACTTTTTCATGACTGAATATTTGAAAAGAGAGGAACCCGATGTCAAAGAGCCCCGAAAAATGCACGTTTTAGCACAGAGCAGCTCCCCGAAAGAACTACCTGGGGTGACTCGGGACGTAACAAATGAGGACCTTCTCAGAATACACAAAGAACACTGGCCTGGGGTGAACGGTTGCTATGACACCGAGGGAGCCTGGTTCGATTGGACAGAGTGCATATCATTGGATCCTCATGGCGATGAGAGCAAATTGAACATCTTGCCATATGTTTGCCTAGACTGAGAGAACAGGGTTTGGAAAAGCTTTCAATGTTCCCACTGTGAGTCAAAGGGGATCGAACCGACTCTCCTTGTCGCTCTGTACAAGGTTCATCTTACAGGTGTAACGAACAAAACAACAGCAGTTGTTCCGAGTTCGGTTTTCCATAAGAAGGAGAGATGAAAAGATGTCCTGTTTGTAATGTGCTGCTACCAACAAGAATTTGCAAACAAGGGTTGTATATAATGGCTCGCAGGGATTTAACTGGGCCAATTCTTGCACAGTGTGTGAATAAGAGGGTCCGAGCAAGCATTGAGCAGTACAGATATGTTTGAAAGCAAGTCGAGAACATTTTTTGGCAGTTACAAAAAGCTTTATGTGACAAAGAATAAATTATAAAAGTTTCTTATGTATGCATCTATTTATTTGACCATGGTTTCCTTTCTTTTTTTTTTTCTAGAAGGTTATCCACTAAGATGTGCAGATATGTCTGAGGCTTTTCTGTTCGCATCACACACTTGTCCCCTTGTTTGTGATGTACACGAGGCATATATAAATACATTTTCCCCCACAGCGGCTCTCACGTACATGTACTGATCGCAGTAGATACCGACATTCCATTCTGAACTGAACATTTCTCGCTTCACATTTCTTTCTCGATTAATCTAAAATATGTGATTTTCATATGAGAGAAAAGCAATCTATTTTTTAGATGTGTTAAATAAAACATTATTTTAAACGAATCTGTTTGCCTAGATAATTGTAAAAAAGAAAAAAATATGGATAAATATGTCGAAAAAGAGAGAAGTATTCATGTGCTAGAAGAAAACGCAGTGAATGGCCACCGAGGGTGCTACTTTTCATCTTCATACTGTGAGGACAGAAAAGCAGGAAAATGTTAATATGCTGGAAATACACTTGTTACCATTCCTTTAGATATTGTTTGCCTTACTGAAACCATTCAACAATGACTTTATTTCAAGAGCCTTAGTGAATGTATGGCATTTAGACTTTTGTTTAGGTGGTACAGAAGGAAACACCTCTAGGCATCTGCCATATGGTCTTTTTTTTCTCAAATGGACGCATTGTGCTATAAATGTGTCAATAAATATGCGCGTTATCCTGCTTGTCTGTACATAGTTCTTGCTATCCATGTAAAACCTTTCTAAGTCTTCTCTTTTTTTTAGTGTGAATGTAATTATTTTGGGAGGAAATGAAGCATTTGGAATGAAAGACCCAATCGTTTGTGTTACTGTTCACAGGAATCTATAGACCTAGATGAATAGGTTGTGGTCCTATTATTCATTCAGTGTTTTCAGTTTGACATAATATTGATCGTGTTTTTTTTTTTTATTCTTTTTTTTTTTTTTTAATGCCTTGCCATTGTTTTGAAAAAAAAAAAGTCTTGTGAAGGGGGTGAAACCTATTTACTGCCGACTTGCAAACACTGTGTGCTCTGCTACCTTCGTCCTACCAATGTGCCTTTGATGTAAAAAGTTTGGAAAGGCTTCCGCTATCTTCACTTGGTTTCAAAAAGTACAGCATATGTTTTCTTCAAACCATGTCAGATATTCCAGGGATATACATCGTTTCTGAAGCAAAGGCCATCTAAGAGCTCAATACTTGGTTAGGGTATTGCAAATATAATTTGCAATTTAAAACTAGAGGAGAGACTTCTTTGATCATTTTTGATCAGTATATTTGTTCAGTGTTTAACATCACTCGTTTGTTCGAAAAAATAAAATAATCTAAACTCTTTGCATCATGGTACCCTTTCTTCCATCAAGGTTATCTGTCCCAAATCGACATGATTGACATGTTCATGAGAGCAAATCTATCATTTAATGTTTTCTGTACCTTTTCAGGAAACTATTTAGCTCTTAATGAATCAAATTGCTGTAGTCTGTTTGCTTGCTTGGTGTGTCATGGAAACCCCCTTTAACTGAAGTTGTCAAGGCTAACCAAAAGTGGTTGCAGTATATACACATAATCAACCTTGTCTTAAAGGGATAGTTCACCTTTTATTAACACCCACATGCTGTTCCAAACCTGTATGATTTTCTTTCTTCTGTTGGACCCAACAGAAAAACCACCCAACTTTAAAGAGATTGAGCATTTAAAGCAGCATACGTTATCAGCCCTTGGTGTGGACACCAAAATAATTATCGGTATAGTTACCGTTTTAGTTGTAATTCTTAGTGTAAACAGGCCTTTAGTCACCCGAGAACAGGAACAACATTAAGTAAATGATGGAATTTTCATTTTTGGCTGAGCCATCCTTTTAATAAGCTGTCTTACACTGTAAAGTCACATTTATCATGGTCTCTTTATAGTCTTAGAAAATTGTGCCTGCATATTTCATTATTTTTACTCAGCGGAAATTAGTACATTTATGGCCGGCGGTTTCACAGACAAGGCTTAATATAGTCCCAGACTAAAATGCATGTTTGAGCTGTTTTAAATGAAAGCAACTTGCATATCTTAAAATATGTCACTGCCATTATTTTGTCTCAAGATGCACACCATAATATTTTTTCTAAGGGATGTTTAAAAAAGCTATTGAAATGTCCTTTTTTTAACTAAGGCCTAATCCTGGCTTAATCTAAGCCTTGTCTGTGAAACCAGGCTTTAATGTTTTCCACTGGATTACTTTAAAGTGTCAGTGTGCGTCAGTACCTGTTCAAAATCATGTGACTGATTACATGTATCATGTATGACTTATCAGCATGACATCCTATCTTGCCTTGCTTCCTCAGCATTTCAGAGATATTTCATGAATGTTAGTGACATCATTCAGTAGCCTGCCGTATTCCCAGAGGTGATTCAATCCTCTTCTACCGCGAGTCTGGAATACCAGGATGGACACAGGGATACTCCCATTATAAAGGAATTTTGTACTTTAGTGCCATATATGGAGTTTTTGATATCAATCACGGCCAAGAAAGGGGGAAAGGGGCGTGACCCGCATTGAGCGTGTGTTCTGATTGGTCGCGAGGTAAACAAGGGGAAGTTCTGGATTTACATAGGCTAACATAGGAAAAGAAGACAAAACTGCCAAACTTTACCGAACTCTTTCTTTCAGTTCTCGACAATCTGTTTTGAAACTTATTCTGCTCTTGTTGCTGACAATGTCTTCGCAGTTCAACAGAGGCCCAGCATACGGGTTTTCAGCGGAAGTGAAGAGCAAGGTACGTGGAATAATTTATAAACTATTTCAAAAACTTCGTTAAAACGCACACATATTTTGTTTGGCATATTATATCTTATATGTAACGGAAATCTTTCTGTCTCATTCTGATGAATCCAAGTGTATCAACAAATGTTTCACAAACTTCTTGTTGTGTTAACATGTAACACGTGTAACACGTGTAACGAATCCGATACAAGGTCATATCAATTGTGCTTCATGTAATGCATATTTAATTATACTATTTAATGTTACTGGCAACCAGCTGTAAAGTGAAAGTAAGTAAAACGCAAAAGAAGTCACGGAAACGGTAAAGAAAGTTCTCAAGAAGCTCTTGGGGCGTTGCCTCCAGTCCTCAAATATGTCATTGTGATCTGGCCTGAAAGAAAACGCACAGCTTGCTAAAAAAAAAAAAAAAAAAAACTGCCGCTAGTTATTCACATTCCTCCTCAAAGGTGTTGTGTTTGTAGCACACTTAGTATCGGTTAGCAGCCCTGACATTACCCTGACAGCCAGATTTATGGTGATAAAGGTCTTTAACTTCCTATATTTAGGTAGCCTATTATATTGTCTTTAAACGGACAGCTGAAATATAAACGCAGCTGAGGGTTAGTTTAGGATATAGGATTTAGGATTTTAATATATATATTAAGACGATTAATGCGATTAACTGACTCGCCTACATATTGTTTATTTATGTAATGTAGGGCATTGGGTGATCATGTAGATCTTATTGAAATAATGAGCATATAGCCTGATTGTAGAATGATTATTGGCTGATGTCACATTAATCTTTCCTCTAGATTGCACAGAAGTATGACCCCCAAAAAGAAGAAGAATTACGAGTTTGGATTGAGGGGATCACTGGGCGGTCAATTGGAGATGACTTCCAGAAAGGGTTGAAAAATGGTGTAATACTCTGCGAGTAAGTTTTTATGTATGTTTATGTAACTCCCAATTAAGTCTTTTCAAAGGCTATTTTACAATATAACTTTGCATAACCGTGCGGTCTTGATCTTTCCTTAAAGGCTTGTAAACAAACTTCAGCCAGGGTCTGTGAAGAAGATTAACCAATCGTCCCAAAACTGGCATCAGGTGAGCTGACGTTTTACGCTCCTCTAAAATGTTTATTCCCAAATGTTTTAGGAAAGCTGGAGATAAAATGTTCTGACATTGAACTTTTTTTTTCTTTTCTTTCTGAGAACATTGTCTAATGTGTTCTCTTAAATTCCGGATAAGATTATCTTTTGTAGTAGAAATGAACGTCCAGCATGAAGGTTATGTTTCGTCTGTTCACATTCAGCTATTTTATTTTGTTGCAGCTAGAGAACCTGACCAACTTCATTAAAGCGATCACCACCTATGGACTCAAACCTCACGATAGTTTTGAGGCTAATGATCTGTTTGAGAATGGAAATATGACACAGGTTCAGACCACACTTCTGGCTCTTGCTGGCTTGGTAGGCCCCATTGAATGATATAATTTCACAGGACAACAGCCTAACTGATTTTATTTCAGTCTGTAATTATAGATTCTCACTGTTTACAGGCTAAAACCAAGGGCATCCACTTAAGTGTAGACATTGGAGTGAAATATGCAGAGAGACAGGAGAGGGCTTTTGATGAAGAGAAAATGAAAGCTGGGCAATGTGTCATTGGACTACAGGTATGGCTGAACTTTGTACAAGTTTCTGTCATTCTCTTCAACTATCTGAATATAATTTATTCACAATCTGTAATCCAAAACTAATATGGCTTGATCTGGAAAGTGCCATGAAAATAGCTCATGTATATAGCTTGTGTGTGTGTCTCTTTATAGATGGGAACAAATAAATGTGCAAGTCAAGCTGGAATGAATGCCTACGGTACCAGAAGACACCTGTATGATCCCAAGTCACATATTCTACCACCAATGGACCATTCAACCATCAGTCTTCAGATGGGCACTAACAAGGGTGCTAGCCAAGTGAGTACCACCTCCCATGATATTGCTCATTTTCTCTTATTACCATCTCATTCTGGGGGCTGTTCCATAAACCAAGATTAGAGTATAAGCCAGGTTTATTTCGGTTAGTCAGGCTTATTTTTGGTAGATTCGGTTTCATAAATCAAACTTAAAAAAGTTCAAACTTAGTTACCCTGCCAACTTATGCTGGGAAACTAGCCTGGTCCAGGGCAGGCTAACTGTCAGGCTAAGCCTCAGTTGTTACACAGATCCTCAACACTGACCGACAAGAACACAATGATATTACCACTGACAGTCTCTAATACCATTATTGGACATTATAAATACACAGTATACAGAAAATCAACTTAAATAAGGCTACAATATAGACACATATATAAGGCGCTTAAAGTTGTCCGTTTAGGACATGTCATTTTTGTAATAAAGACATTTTAATTAAGGAATGCCTCGGTTATCAGAGAATTCTTTCTCTACACTGACTCTTATTTATATATATATATATATATATATATATATATATATATATATATATATATATATATATATATATATATATATATATATATATATATATATATATATATATATATATTATTATGTCTTTCAATTCAAACACATTTAACACAATTATACAAATGGACAGTTCCTTTAAAGACATCATATTTTCCCCCAATAAATATTCCTTATTTTTCCTTCTACTTTTTTTTTCTTTTGCGATAATACCAACACATACATATAAATAAAACAATAAATAAATATTAATAAAAATATAACATTCACAAACTCTTATAATGAATGACACATAATTCCTAATAGTTATTCAAGTAATATTATTTAAATATCAAATATTCAATATTAAATAAGTAAATAAATAAAATAACAAATAACTAGAAATAAAAGGGATGGTTACATAAAAATGTAGTTAATGTAGGCCAATATATATTCCTTTATTTTATGGAATATTCTTTGATTTTAGAGTTGCACATATCTTTTCAAAATGTATACATTTGTTCTTAATTTAATGTTATCCTCTCCATAATGTACTTTAGAAACTAAATCTAACCACTCATTTAAAACTGGGGATTCTTGCTTTCTCAAAAAAAATGATTGCATTAAAAGCTGTAATTCTCAGCATTCTAAATAAGTATATATCATCTTTATAAAGTAGCATAGGTCCTATACCCAAAACTATATTTTGTATCTTTATATATTTAGTTTCTTTAAAAAAATCTTCCCTGAATTAGGCTACTTCTGTTCAATTTCTTTTTTTTATTAGAAGTATAAAATATATGAGTGTAATGAGCTAGAAGTTCACTGCAACTTATCCAACATCCTAAAGAGAAATTATTATAATTAGAAGATATTTCTAGTGTTTTATAAAACGGTTAGTTCCAATCCTTGATTCTGATTGGTCAATAGCTGTGCTTTATTCACGATAAAACACGGCTATGACCGCTTCACCCAACGGTTCTATGTATCACTACACAACACCCCTAGCAACCACTCTTAGCAACTTAAACAGATGTTTCATCTCATTGATATTGTTCATTTAAAGCTAGAGCAGAGCATTGTGAGAGATCGAGTAAGCGAGTGTACCTGCATTTACAGTAGACGTAGCATTTTCCTTCAGGTCAGTCCTATATTCATAATAAAAAAATGCGTTTGAATGTCCGCTGCATATTTTGTCCTTTTAACAGTCATGGGGTTTTCCGTGCATAACGTTAGTCATCTGTCAGTTGCGTCTGTCTTCTCCGTGATCACAAGTTCGAGTCCTTTCAAAAGCCTTCTCTACAGACTCACTCACTCACTCACTCATAAAGACAGTCTTTGCCGCCATCTATTGGCGAAATAATATATGTAACTTCTGTTGCTGTTCACGTTCCGGTGTTCCGGAAAATTCTGTTCCCCTGTTTCCCCGTCAGCGCGCATGCGCAACAGCAAGACGAAAATCATGATCTCACGTCATTATTCCGCGCAAGCTCCTAGCCATATATTGTGCAATGATTGTGCATCGCGGTGTTTTTACTTATTCTCCATCACAGTAATGTACATTTTACTCTGTTTGTTAGATAATCTGCAATTGCATACAGGTTTTAAAGCATAGAATGTATATTTTCAGATGTTTATGGCTCAATCGGATGTAGATTACGTTACACTTGCTAATTCTAGTTATACGTTCTTTTTATTATTATTTTTATTACTGCGTGTGTGTCGGTTTGCTGTAGACATAAATAAACTATATTGCACTGCACAAATAAGTAATCTGTGTTGTTATTCTCATTTACGTTATTTTATGATATTCGTCTACTTGAAGGCCCAGAAAAAGTGGTTCTGTATAGTACATTTTCAGTATTTATAACACACTGCAGTGATGCTGGTGATGTATTTAAGTGGCATCTTCATGTGTAAACACTGTCATCCATCGATCAGTCTCTTACACTGAACACACAGGGGGAACCGTTTTACCTGCTGGCCCAGAAAAAGTGGTTCCCCCACTGCAATATTACATTTTTAAGGAATTCATAACACACTGCAGTGATGCTGGTGATGTATTTAAGTGGCATCTTCATGTGTAAACACTGTCATCCATCGATCAGTCTCTTACACTGAACACACAGGGGGAACCGTTTTACCTGCTGGCCCAGAAAAAGTGGTTCCCCCACTGCAATATTACATTTTTAAGGAATTCATAACACACTGTAGTGATGCTGGTGATGTATTTAAGTGGCATCTTCATGTGTAAACACTGTCATCCATCGATCAGTCTCTTACACTGAACACACAGGGGGAACCGTTTTACCTGCTGGCCCAGAAAAAGTGGTTCACCCACTGCAATATTACATTTTGAGGATTCATAACACACTGCAGTGATCCTGGTGATCTATTTAAGTGTATAATAGGGGATGTATAACACTTCACTCAATCTGTTAAACTATAAACGTTTTTTATTAAACAAAAACACAAAACCTACACACTTTACATACTTTCAACAACATACACACTTTCGAAAACTCACAATTCAGCTTTGTCGCAATGTGGAGAAAGGACCAAAAAGCGAAAGCTGGTTACTGAGATTTACTGTTCAGTGACATAAGGCAGTCTGGCAGTCTGCTATTCAACGGCCATCTTGGCAGACGCAGAACTAGAGAAGGAAACTCAAAAATGGCCTGGCAGCAAACAAGCGGAGTGTAAGAGATATGCTTGTAGACAGGAGACACTTAGGGACATATGAGCGCAGACTCAGTAGCACAGAGAAGCAGTCTTGCAGGCAGCTTCACTGAGCAGAGCTCACGCTGGACACACAAGACAGGAAAGGACAGGACTAGGCTAGACTGGACAAGGTGGGAAAATCACAAAGTAGAGAGTCTATAAATAGCATGCACACCACAGTCAAACAATAAACTGACAAAGAGGTGGAAAAACAGAGAGTTAAATAGCGGAGAGATCATAGCAAAGGATCAACGGGTGTAATTTTCATGAGCGCAAATGCAGTGGATGAACACTGCGATAAATGATAGTTTACAGTTGTGTCAGAGAGCATGTGCAGGATAGAGAGCCTAAACAAGCTAAGGAAAAATCTTGGTCTATAATTTACCTTGGTCTATGTAGTGCAAGCTGGGCAATAATAATCTGCCTCTGCTGGTGGGTTGCCAACACATGACTGGTGGTACTGGTGGTACCACCTGTCACATCCATCACAGGCAATCTGAATGATCATAAAATATAATGTCACAAAATAATTTTATTTCAACATTAGATTAGATTAATCTGTTACAACTATTTAAAAAAAATAATAAACTAACAACTAATTTAAAAAAAGTCCCATTACCCAAGCAGGTGGCAAGACTGGGTCACTTAGATTTTCTTCTCCACAGAACCTACAGAGATCACTCAAATCTTCTACAAAAGTGTACAGAGTGTCAATAACATTTAGACACTGGATTAATCATAAAGCAATCAGCCATAGAATTAAAACCACTGGCAGGTGAAGTGAATAACATTATCTTGCTACAGTGGCACATGTCTATGGAGGACCAGCTCTACCATATTTGATGACATGACTGATGCAGTAAAATGCTAACCAACCAATGGGCAGAAGTTGACCCCTTAAGACACAGCCCCTCCTCATTTGCATAATGAGGCAGAAATGCATACAGAAATGTAAAAACGACAGGCATAAATAAATAGCATTGAAGAAATAAATAGGGTAAAAAAATACAAAGGAAGAATAAAACAGACAAAAATATTATAACATGCATATAAATAAATAAGGTAATTATTACAAATGTGAATAAATAAAGAAGCTAATTAAGAGATATATACATTTATGTCTCACTGTATAATTTAATTTCTACCTACATTTATTTGTTTATTGTGTTTTTGGGGCAATTAATTGTATGCTTATTTATTTATTGAGCATTTATTTATTTCTGTATTTATTTTTAAATATGGTAGAGCTGGTCCTCCATACATGTCAGTATATATAAGTTAGCAGGTGAACAGTCAGTTCTCAATGTTGACGTGTTGGAAGCAGAAAAGAATGAGCAAATTTAAGTATCACAATGCTAACATTATATTCAAAAATATACTTACTCATTATAATAGCATTAACTGTTTATGTCCAGTTTTGTCTGTGTTCCTTGGTTTTTAATTGAATGGCATACCTGTTACTGTTCTAGTTGATTTACTCTATCTGTGTATTTAAGCCCTTTGTTTCTTTGTGCAGTTGCTCTGTTGATTTGTCACCTGCATATTTCTCCTATTCTTACTAAAAAGACTTTTGGAATTTATTCTGATTTGTGCATGTTTTACTATACCGAAACACTAGAATTGCATAGGTTTCTGCATTAGTTGACCATTTCTTCTTTAATTAAATCATAATATTAAAAACACAATGTGGTTAAACATAAAGAACAAGAATATTTGTACTTGTCGATATGTAATGCACTGTTTAAATACTCATTGGAAACTGAACTTTTTTGCATTTTGTTAAAGTAATACCCCTTTACCAGCATTTACCTGATTCCTGCATAAGCTTCACTGCCAAGTTTTTTCTTAAAAGGTTTACTGCCTTTTCTGTGTTTGCGAAGACTATTGACTGGCCTGTCAGGATTTTTTCTGCAAACTAAAAAGTAGTATTTCAAATAAACATAACTAAACACACTTATTACAATCTAACAATCTATTTTATGCTTACCTTACATACAAAAACACCACAAGATGTGACGTCACGTTGCACAGGGTGATGAACTGTGTCACACGTCCACCTTGACACTTTGCAGCCTTTACTCCTCATAAAGGCTCTACAAAGAAAATTGATCAATTCATGTAACAATTCCATTGTACCTATAAGAAAGATACTAAATATTCTTTGCATTTGTTACTTAGTGGTTTCCAGGCACTTATGCAGTTTGTGTGATGATTCTCCCATAGGATCCAAAAAAATTGTTCTTTTTTGGGATGGATAAATGGCCTGAAAATTAAACAAATCACAACCTGTATATTAGTTGCTACATATTGAAAATAATTTTCAAAACTGTTGCTTTTATAGAAAGGATAGATTATCTGTTTTGCTTTATTGACTAAAATGTTTTGTTGTTTAGTACCTTGTTTGCCTTCATCATCATTGGACATTAAATGTTACACATATTTGCAAGACTTACATTTGATACAAGTTTAATCAGATTTGATTGCAACTTTCTATGGACTTCATTGTGAGGTGTATTCATGGATACTCACAGCAATAGTCCAGTGATCATGCTCATTTATCACACCCAGAAGAACTTTATACTGGCGTGGATCACACTAAAATAACAATAATAATAAAAACAGATTACTAAATCAAATTAATAAAGCAATACAGAAAATAACCAATAAAGAAAATGAATCATCATCATTAGAAAAGATTGTTAAATCAGATAAGGACATTGTTTTGTAAAATATTTATTACATAGTCTCAGTCCGATAAAGTTACCCTGCTTAAGGTGTGATATGACCCTTCCCATATTTTAGTCATTGCGTAGGAGTCTATCATGTATGCCTGGTCCTCGTTATCCTGGTTATGCTTCCTCACCAACATATAAATGTGTGCAATAAATGTATATAAATCATATGTTTGTTATTTGTGATAAGCAATAATGAGAATCAATAAAAGTGCGCGTTTGTGTTATAAAGTCAAATGTGCATAGGTGGGGGATGGGTAAAAAGAAATCTGGCGGGAATATAATATGGTGGGATCCACTCAGTGTAAGAGACTGATCGATGGATGACAGTGTTTACACATGATGACAATTAAAGACATCACCAGCATAACTGCAGTGTGTTATAAATACTAAAGGGGGGAACGAAAGGGGGTGGGAGACGGGAGGGGGGAACCACTTTTTCTGGGCCAGCAGGTAAAACGGTTCCCCCTGTGTGTTCAGTGTAAGAGACTGATCGATGGATGACAGTGTTTACACATGAAGATGCCACTTAAATACATCACCAGCATCACTGCAGTGTGTTATGAATCCTCAAAATGTAATATTGCAGTGGGGGAACCACTTTTTCTGGGCCAGCAGGTAAAACGGTTCCCCCTGTGTGTTCAGTGTAAGAGACTGATCGATGGATGACAGTGTTTACACATGAAGATGCCACTTAAATACATCACCAGCATCACTGCAGTGTGTTATGAATCCTCAAAATGTAATATTGCAGTGGGGGAACCACTTTTTCTGGGCCAGCAGGTAAAACGGTTCCCCCTGTGTGTTCAGTGTAAGAGACTGATCGATGGATGACAGTGTTTACACATGAAGATGCCACTTAAATACATCACCAGCATCACTACAGTGTGTTATAAATACTGAAAATGTACTATACAGAACCACTTTTTCTGGGCCTTCAAGTAGACGAATATCATAAAATAACGTAAATGAGAATAACAACACAGATTACTTATTTGTGCAGTGCAATATAGTTTATTTATGTCTACAGCAAACCGACACACACGCAGTAATAAAAATAATAATAAAAAGAACGTATAACTAGAATTAGCAAGTGTAACGTAATCTACATCCGATTGAGCCATAAACATCTGAAAATATACATTCTATGCTTTAAAACCTGTATGCAATTGCAGATTATCTAACAAACAGAGTAAAATGTACATTACTGTGATGGAGAATAAGTAAAAACACCGCGATGCACAATCATTGCACAATATATGGCTAGGAGCTTGCGCGGAATAATGACGTGAGATCATGATTTTCGTCTTGCTGTTGCGCATGCGCGCTGAAGGGGAAACAGGGGAACAGAATTTTCCGGAACACCGGGACTATTTTTTCCAGCGGAAGGCAGGCTTTTAGTGATTTTACTTCATGAAAGTTGCATAGATACATATTTTTCGGCTTTAATATTTTTATTGTGTGGCAACCGTTTTATAAAAGCAATAAGGTACTCGAGGCAAGTGCTGTATCGTGAATAAGTAACGGCTGAAGGTTCCATAAATGAAGCTTAGAAAAGCGGGGATTAAACTCCAAAACCGGACTTGAATGAGCCTAACAAATAAGTTGGGGCTAAAGTGGTTCCATAAAAGGTAATTGAAGTGTTCACGCAATCTCACTAATTTGATCCAGGTTTATCTAGTCTAGATAATTGCGTGTGCATGCGTTTCTGAAGCAGCCCTAGAGGTCGATCGTGGATCAAATCGATCCACCATCAAACAGCGTATATTTTTATGCGTTTGTGACATGTTTTTTTTCCCCCCTCAGTGCAAAAATTACATTTTACAGTTATATTCTCCATCTGTAAATGTTAGAAAGTCGTGCAAATGTATCCATTTTGCTGCTAATCTTCATATTGAACGAGCGATGTTGCGCGCATGCGCGCCAAAATAGGAGCGCAATAATTCTGACTAAAATATACATTTTGCTTGGAAAATTAATATGCGATATTTTATAACACTAGAAATATCTTCTAATTATAATAATTTCTGATCAGTTTTGTTATTGTTAACTAAAACTGTTATAAGTTTTTCGCTACTTAAATAACGCTTAAATAAAAAAAAAAAATACATGTATATAATATATATACATGTATATATTATAAAAAACATAAAAAATGCAAACAAATTAAAATGTTTTGACAAAATAACTGAATTGTTTTATTTAGTTTGAAGGACTAAAATGACTAACTAAAATGAAAATAAAGCTTAATATAAATTAAACTAATAAAAATGGCAAAAACATAAAATTACTAATACTTAGTGCCCCTATTGTGCTTTTTTGAATATTAGCTTTCATGCAGTGTGTAATATAGCTGTTTGTGATTCGTAAAGGTCTGCAAAGTTTTAAAGATCAAAGTGCACCACAAATACAATTATTGTCTCCTAGAACGGGTTCTTGCAAGATCTTACATCTGATTGAAAAATATGCTTTTAGGTTGTGTAGCGCCGGTTGCATAAACGTAGCCACTATGTTAAGACTTAAGAACACTATGTCTTAAGAATTAATTTGGCCAACTAGAAATTAGTCAAGAGGTAATCAGTCTTACTTTTCTGATTCAAATTAGACCGATCTACCTTTATGTAACTGACTTTTAAAAAGTTAGCACTAACCTTTAAGACTAGTCTAAGCAGTTTATGCAACCAGCCCCAGGTCTTTGGAAGTAGCCTACCCAGTTTGCAACTTAGTGTTACATATGTCTTTTTACGTAGTGCGTCACAGTGCGCGCTTCACCAGAGATGAGTCAGTGAGGGTTTGCAAAATTTATTTGCAAAAATTTATTTTGCAAATAAATTTTGCTTTTATTTGCAAAATAAATGCAAATTTAACTCTCAATAGCTCGAAGATTACTGGTTTCGGAGATGGTTGGCAACAACTAATGACCGCAATGAAGCCAAGCAAGTTATGCTGCAAGCAGGCTAGGCTCACGGAAAGGAGGGGTTTGGTTTTTCAGACTCTTTGAAAAATTAGGTGATGTCCCATGTACAGAATGAGAAAATTAAAGTTATTAATTTTTTTTTACCTTTCCATATAAACCTATTGTTGGAGACCTCCAAAACAAAATGAAGAACCTTTAAAATGTCATAATAGGGGCACTTTAAACTAAAGTTAAAATGAAAACTGAAAATAAAACTATAATAAAATGTAAAATGGTTCTGAATCTGATCTGTTCCTTCTAGTCTGGTATGACAGCTCCAGGGACCCGCCGTGCCATCTACGACCAGAAAATTGGCACCGACAAATGCGACAACTCCACAATGTCTCTACAAATGGGCTACACTCAAGGCGCCAACCAGAGCGGGCAAAATTTTGGGCTTGGCCGTCAGATCTACGATGCCAAATACTGCCCCAAAAGTGCACCCGATGCAACTGGAGAAGGAGCTGATGCTGTTGGCTACACGGATTACCAAGACGAGGGCTACCAGGGTTATCAGGATGACGGTCAAGATTACTGAATCGACCAATCGCAGGCTATGAGTCTGAATAAGAAGCTAAAGGGAAGTTGATACTTCCTTGTAAACAAAAGACCAAAAACATGAAAGTGACCCATATGAAACATATCACTTATTTTTTAACTATATCAATGTTCTTTTTATAAACGGTATGTTTGGTTCATTTGAAACGAGAGCCCAACAAAATATGTTAAGTGTTATGTGTTGATATTTCTTTTATTTTATATGGTTCATTTGACAGTCATTTAATTGCACAACCTCTATGATAATATTTAGTATTTGCTTAATTGTAGGTTTAGTTTAATGTACATTTTATTTTTTATTTGATCAAAACGCTGATCTTAAAATGCAAGTGTGACGGGGGTTATTGTAAAGTTACATTTACATAATCCCAAATAATGAATTTTCTTTTTTTTTAATCAAGCTTTCTTGTGAAGAAATTTGATATTAAGTATGGACGAGAAAGAGCGTTACGCGAGTGTTTCATTTATTGAAAATAGAACATGCTCCGGGGTTTAAAATCACTCTTCTTGTCAGTTGAGCATGTGAAGGATAATTTTTGCTGTTACAGTTGAAAGATGCAAAGTTAAAATGGTGAGGGTTTCGATATGGTGAACCTTTACTGGAGTTATGTGGTCCATTTAGTTAATTTAAGAGCTTACTTTCCCAGTAATATTTTGTTATTGTGTTTTTAGGCTGGACATTTAGAGCACATTCTTGACATGCACAAAAAGGAAGGGGTTATCTATCATTGCAGCAGCATTTGAGTCATTTTCTGCTTTTGACATTCTAAACATTCTACTTCCTCAGTTGATGTGAGGAGATGAATGTGGTTTTATGATACACTTTACTGTCTCACATACAATCTGTAATGTGTTTTAAATAGTTAATCTTTGTATTAGTGTTTCATTTTACATCAAATATTTTACTGTTTGTAGAGCCAGAACAACTGGAGCATGTCTTGTTTTCTTTGGATTATAGTATTGTAAATGGAAATTGAAGTATAACATTGTGAGCCTTGAACATTCCAAATTAGGAACTGGATTCACTATTTGTATTCCACAGTATTTGTTCTCATTCCAAATGGCTAAACCTTTTGTATTAGACATTGGAAAATTTTAGGTCTGCTTTTTTTTTTTTTACCTTTCTCGTGGAATATCATGGTTAGATGAATGCAGTAAGTGTTGGGTTTATAATAAAAGATGATGAACAAGAGATACTGTTGTCAGGATTCACTTAATTTGATACCCTTTTGCTCTCTGAAAAATGTGTATATAACAAAGCTAGTATTTAATTTTCAGTCTTATACAAGAGGAAGATAACATTTGAAATCATTTGCTTACTTCCCAATGGAAATCCTGGATCCATTAATCAATGATCCGATCAGAAAAATGATCAAGCAAGCAGTGTTGAGTCAGATAATGAAGCTGATGTACTACATCCTCAGACACTGGAGCAGGGCCCACTAATATCCTTAATGGTACATAATAAATCTGGGGTTCGAGGAAGAGGGGACTCGCCTTCAAAAATTGTTAAATTACCTAATACTGCCATCATCTGGCACTGAGTGAAAAAGACAGCATGAGATTATTAGCTACACATATATTATACGACTCCTAACGAAAAGAAATGTTATTTATTTTTTACCAAAGGTAAGTGAAAGGATGTACTTAACCCTGGGAAATTGCTGATTGTTAAACTAAATATTTTATTTAGTTTAAATTTTCAAGTTAGCCCTGATTTATGTAAAGTAATTGTTAGTTAATGCATTAACCGATCATGCTAACTAATGGAACGTTTTAGTGTTACCAATACATTCAAGAAAGATATACCGTAATTCCTCAAATAAAGGCCGGGGCCTTTATTTACCTGAACTGCAGATGGTAGCCGGCTTTTATTTGAAGCAGGCTTTTATTAGAGGCAGGCCTTTATTTCTAATTCGCGATCCCCGCCCGCCCGCCAGCCAAGTTTCCATGGTGACGCGTCATGCTTGGCACGTGTTCACCACAGCCAAAATAGCGCTATATGACAGATGTAGCGCTTTTATTTCTAAATATTAACAAACTTGCTTACCATGTCATCAACTATCTTCTATTCTGACTCTCAAATCCGTGTAAGTGAGTTTGTTTTGTCGTTTAAAACCCTTTATAAATGATCTTGATCTGTAACGTGAGATGGGCACCGCAGTTCGGAGATTCCTGTTGTATTTGTTAAGTTACAGCGCGTGAATTCTTCAGTTTCTCCCGAAATACATGAAAGTAAGTGGCCGGTGAACTGGGAGAAGAATAGAGTAAACTTTATAGTTACTTACACTGTGTATCTGATATGAATAAAACACGTCGCCAAATATATTTGAATGGATTGTTATTGCTGCTTCCATAGACACCATTGTGTATTTTACAAACTATAAATTTATTGTTTTGCTATAAATCATATCTATTTAAATGTCTGAAACCTAAAATAAACATGTGGTTAAAAACACTTAATAGTTGTGATATATGTCTGACAAGCGCTAAGCGCGTCCGTCTTTGAGTGTACATTCATTTAAAGTGTACATATTCACACTATTTTTTCCCCGGCCTTAATTTGAGACCGGCCTTTATTTGTCCGCGTTGACCACGCCCCCGGCCACTATCAGAGGCCCGGCGTTTATTTGAATACCGGTCTTTATTTGAGGAATTACGGTATTTACTGCGAGTCTTGAATGAAAATGACGTTTTTGTCGCTTGCACCAGGTGGCGCTGCTTAACAAGATCTCACCAGTTTCTCCGGTTCTCGCCAGTTTTTGCTGCCTGAGGTTGAGATTTTTTCTACAACCTCACTTTGTCGACACATGTGCAGATTTGTGCTTTTAAGGCCTTACTTTGCCTCTTCTCAAACAGCCCTGCTGTGAGCTTGTCAAAAGGCTCTCTTCTTGTTAATGAAATGCTACATTCCATGTTGACACGCCGCTCACCTCCCTCACGCTTCAGCCTGATTTACCTTCACGACTCCTGTTGAAGCAGGTAACCTCTCACACAGACAGCATTGTGCAAACATTATATTACACAGGTAATCTATAAATTTTTCTCCTTAAAGGGAGCGCTCACCCGAAAATGGAAATTCTGTCAACAATAATCCCCTCATCTCGTTCCATTTTTTTAACAGCAAAAATATGTCTCTCATTAAAATGAGTTTTATCCATTAAAACAAATCTACTTTTCTTATTAGTTAAAAATTAATAAATGTATTTGCAATGTATTCGGTTTTGCCTTCAGGTTGGAGGATGCAAAAAGTATTTGAGTGAAATGCAAAACAGATAAGATAGGCTAAAATTAAATAAAATTATAAAACAACTGAAAGGGTATACTGAGGGGTCCTCATCATGATTAATGACCATCAAATGTTATATAACGGAATAATATTTGTTCTTTGGTACGGTTCTGCTTCAGTGGCTCTAAACAAAGTAACAATACATTAATGGTATCAGGCAGGATGACTGTTGAATGAAGCTTTAAAAATCATAATGGCTAAACATAATGGCTGTTATATGACGAAACATGTCTTTATGTTTGTGCAATGGCCTCATTTTCTGTTGGTTCTGTAATGCTCTTAATAACTCCATGTATACTGTACTTATAGGAACTATGTACAGTGTCCTTTTCTTATAATATCACTCAGTTCCACTGACCCGTGGTAATTCAAAAGCTTTTGTCAATATGGAGTGCATAATCTTGTTGCCTTTAAACCTGTGAAGGTAAACAGCATCTTATTTATTGTAAACCAGAATTTAAAATGTAGCACATTACAATGTTTATATTTATCACAGCTAAAAAGATAACTTTATTTCAAAGGTGATAAGACAGTTGTTCTTTTCTTAAACCGTAAAGCACTTGAGTGTTAAATACACTAAACTCATCTAGAAGTAAGTAACTGAAAGCACATTAGTGACGACTTCTTTCAGGTGTGAAACATTGAGTGTGACACTCGGAAGCCAACACAACTTAGTTACTTATAGGCAAGTCAGAAGAATAAGCTGATTTCCGCTAAGTAAGGTTCACGTGTGTTTAAGACCATATGGCAACACTCCTGTAGGAACATTCAAGGACATAGTATTTTTTACTTTTTTTTTCTATGATAAAAGTTTATTTTTGGTTTAACAGAAATCACAGCATTTCATCTGTATGGATGTCTTACAGGTATATTTGCAGCCATCTGCTCAATTATATTTGTTGCCATGTTTCTTGTCTCTAGGGCTCTGTGCAAGCTTGAGCACCGCCAGGACATTCCAGCATCACCTGCCGTGTAGATAAACGTAACCCTCGGGTCTGATAAGAGCTGCGTACATCTGCTTAGCACTTCATACTGAACTGATCTAAACCAGCCCATTCACTTTGCATTGACAGGGTGTTTGTGTGTAGCGCAAGAACTTCAGTGACACAGAGTTTGTTTGTTTTTTAAATAAAATCTATTTTTATTGGTCCCTTCAAGACCAAACATTTTTTCATAAAAACAGTAACAAAAAGTAACATAAATTATAAGCAAAAAGATAAAGAAATACATAATGATTTTTTGTACAACACTTAAATATTATGGAAATCAGAGCATGACCGTTTTGTAGTTGGCAAGAATACAGCTGTAATGCTATGAAGAAAACGTACATTTCTGTTATTTACAGAAAAGTGACAGCTCTAGACATTTAAAAGCAGTCAATGTGACTGAGAAAATAAATCTCCACAGGAACTCCTCATTTGATTTCAAAACAGGAAAATACACAAGTAGTCTCAGATCATTTAAGCTTTTGAAAGACAGCGTGTGTACCAGAAAATAACTTCCACGTTTGGATACTTGAAATGACTTGATGGGCATCAAACCTTTCAATGTTCTGCAGATCTACTAATGCATGTCTTTGTCTGTGGATAATGCCTTAAGATAAATAGTGCCTTTACAATAAGGGTACTGGTACTGGCTCAAGCTTATGTAGCTTATTTGGTCCGTATTTTAGTGGTAAGGTTATTTAATTCCTTCCCCAAGCCTTTTAGTTATGGGAAGCACTTGCAATGGTGCCTAACCATCAGGTCTTGTGACGTCACCCTGCCAGATTTGTCTAAACATGTAGCAGATCCTTACAGTGGCCTGCACCATATAACACATGCTGCTGCTTGCAGAGTTCCAGGCACATTTAGTTCTTTCCAGTCTGATTAAATAAAAAAGCCTATTTTTGCACCGACTGGGATTTGAGTGACCA